TTCTCCTATATTAATTTGAAAAATTAACACGTTTAAAAATGCAAATTTAAGTAAGTACGTCTATTTCGTCGCATCGTGGTCCTCATGTGTCGTGAATATTGAACTCGAATTGTTTATAGAAAAGATTATCACATTCCATTAGCAAAGTTTTATCCAGATATAACTGGTTTTGGTCCGTAAATTGTGGTTTTTAAAACGATTATATTATCTACTTCTCACGAATACCAATCGCAACAAACAAGGTTATTAAGATATTGAAAATAAATGTGAAAATAACAATAGTTCCGTCAATTTCTTTTGTAAATATACTTATATTTCGTACTTATTTGAGTCACGGATTTGCCTTTGTTAATGGAAACTTCTTAATAATCATAATATGTTAAAAATAAAAATGTTAAGTAATAAAAAGTTGCGTATCCTATTGTTACATTCATACTTTCAAATTTATTTTGCAGTCCAGGTTCTTCATACTTTGTTCATGATCGTCCTCATGCTCTCTATTTTTATTATTAAGATTGATCATTGTTTTTATCAGTATCAGCATTTTTAGTAGTAATCAGGACTTCACGTGAATCTCAGGATCTTATTTCTTTTTATTTGTTTGATATTTAGAAAATTAAATTTCCCTCTAAAATTTCATTAGGGCCTTATCATTCGAAACTAATTATTATATTTTATCATGGAGCTATGATCAATGAATCACTATAAATTGCTATCTAAAAGTGATACGGTACTTTATCGGGATACTCAGGCTGAAGTAGCAAAGATAATACTGTCTGGCTAGCGGCGCACCCTGATTTATTTGTGTACAAGAATATTTGGCCAATTTAACAAAAATAAAGTCTAAAAATGCTTAAATCGTTTAGGGATGTTCCACCCACGTGACTCGAGTAAATGTATGTTAATGATTTTATTATCGCTTTTCATTGTTAGTATTTCCTTACGTCAAACGTAGTGGATTATATAGTTACTCGTGCTGCGTTGTCGTCACTGTAAACAACACTCGAATCTCAAAAATAAACAGACACAGTCTGCCAAGAAAATTGTTGAGCATGCGCTTCTCATGACGTGAACGGCCGTAAATTATTTATAGTTTTTCCTTAAATCAAAGATGTTGGTAATAAATTGATGTATTTAGGGAACGATTACAGAATAAAACTTTCGGCATAAATTTTGTCCTATAAACCGCTACTCCCCAGTTTCGCTTGCTCTGCTCGCCTCCTTTTGATCGCAGCATGATATTTTATAGTCTATAGCTTTTCTCGCCTAATGCACTATCCAATACAAAAATAATTATTCAAATCGAACCAGTAGTTTCGGAGATTGGCGCGTTCAAACAAACAACCTAACAAACTTTTCAGCTTTATACATAATGCTAAGTATAAGAAGTATAATGGTATTTTTTTAATATTTCTTATATATTTTCAATTTCTTTTTCTCAACAAAGTAGTTGACCGGTTAACAGGAAGTACCCAAGAATAATACGAAGAAGTTTGGAATTTAGAGAATACAGAAAGACAGGAAAACCATTTATAAAATATAATTAAATATACCCATTTTTTGAAATAATAAGCGTTGAAATTACTTCAGTAGGACATAGTCAAGGATTTATAACAATACATTCTAATATAATATAAGGATTGTGCTAAAGTAGTTACAACACAGTAAAAATTGTTATGCAAGAATTCGTTTTGTGAACATACAATTTCAGAATACTTACGTGAACTTAACCGTCTTTACGGTTAGTCACCAAATCACAATGATCACATTATAAGGAATTGATATTTATATTCTTTGATATATTATTATTCTATAGAATATTGATAAAATAATCAAAGGATATTTTTTTTATAGAGAGGGGAAAACAATTAGTTCCTACTTGTGGCAATGATTACCTAGATTTAATTCTTAAATGTTTTCGAATATAGTAGGTACTAGCAAAGTCCCTTCAAAAATTTAGCATTTCAAGTGTTGTCGATTCGCACACCGCACACGCCGCTTTGGCCACATCAACCTTTACTTTACACACATTGAAAAGGAACAAGTCACCACTACACATGCAATGTTTAATGTGAATATCAAGGAATGCCATGACGTCAAGAGCGAGCCCACGCGCTAGCCAATCAGATTCGTACACTGAGAGGCACGCCTTAGGAAATACGATAAAATGCCTTTTCAAATGCCTAAAATAACACTAGTCTAAACGCTATAAAAATTAGCTTTTTACAAAAAAGTCCTGAATAAATTTAACATAAGCAAAGGCTTTAATTTCTTTTTTCATAGATATAATATTATCTTTCCATACTATTCATACGCATACAAAATAAGTTGATGAAAAAGAGACAACAATAGTTTACTATCATGAATGAAAAAGACCGCGTATGTGAGCGCGTTCAATGCAGCAGTGCTGACGACGAGTCCGTTAGTAGCTATAGTCGTATTTTTAATTAGACGAAGTCGACTGACGTTTGCTGTGTTGTCAGTTTTTGATGAAATAAAAATAGTGTTGCGAAAAAGTGAATGATTGAAAAAGCAACTAAATGAATGAAATTGTCTCGATCGTCTAGTGAATTAATTGAAGTAGTTGAAACTACAGATGAGTAAAATATAAAAAAATTAGGTAGTTATGGATAATAAAAACAACGCTAATAACATCATTTGATTTTAATCATCATCAGATAAAAAATCATCGCTATCACTTTCGGTGACATTAATAATAAAGTTGTCTGACACATTGTCAATCATGTGGTCAAGGCCATACATTTTGTCTTCTTCTTTAATAACGTGAGACACGCAACTACTCCATTTTTCTGCTGTGATGAGTTGAAGTCCTTCTTCAAACAGTTTTTTAACTTCTGGCATTTTAAAAGTTTTGTTATTTCTTGCCACATGTCCTTTGGCCTGCGCCCATACCAACTCAATAGGGTTAAGCTCACAGTGGTATGGGGGCAGACGTAAAACCGTAATTCCATGGTGTGCTGCCATCTCGTCCACAACAAACTTTTCAGAATGTTGGTGTTTGTGCTGTCGTACAATGTCTATAAGAGTAGCTTTGATCATTGTTGCTTCGAATGCGATATTTTTGCTTGTTAGCCACTCTTGTATTCTGGATTTAGTCCAAGACATTGTAGGCAGCGATTCCAGTTTCCTGGAGTGGTACGGGGCATTATCCATCACTACCACGGAATTTGGTTTGAGTTTTGGCAAGACCTCTCTGAACCACTTTTCGAAGGAATCGGCATTCATCTCTTGATGATAATCTTCTTTGTTTTTTGTGGCTTCAAATATTAATAGGCTGTCTTCTACGAACCCTTCTTCCCCGCCTATATGTCCGATAATTAAGCGTTTGCCCTTTCCTGAAGGTTGTTTTAAGCCAGTGGTCAAGCCATCGAGGAAGGCCTGGCGGGAGGTTAGCACTGTTTGGTCAATCCATACCTTCTTCGGGGCATGACCTTAAAAATAGAGAAAAATATCAATTAATTATTGAAAGTAGAGGGACCTTCTAAACACATGCCTGTAAATGTATGTACACGTTTATCTAAGTGGTTTGTCATGTTTGTTTGTAATTATTCCTAATTTATATTATTGTCACACAATCAGAATTTACAGTCTTATAAGAAACGCATGTAATCTGTGTTAAATACAGCGTCGGTAACGAATTGTAAGAACTTTTATCTGTGGCCACAAAACCTACAGAAAGTAAAATTTAAAATGAAGAAAACAAAATTGTAATTACCTTCGTTGATCCAGGTCTCATCTTGGTAATAAATATACCTTCCTTCTCTTCTATACTGTTTTATTTCTCGAAGGTATCGCTGGCGCCATAGAATAATATCCTGTCTGTCAATAAGAATGCTTTTTCTTGTCTTTGAAACGTATTTGAAATTCAAATGTTTCATAACATTTCTTAGTGTACTCCATGAAAAAGTCGGTAAATCTGGGTCTTCATTGACAACTTTAAGGATCTGTAAAGTAATAAAAATGTTTTTGAGTAAGGAAATCTATGCAATCTAATACTTTGGTTTTACAAAGAACATTATGGTGGACACAGAATATAATGCAGTAGACGGAATAAAGTTTATGTTACCTTTGCAATGGTGGGTGGCTCATTTGCATAAAAAAACTGATGAACTTTTCGCCTTATGGCAGTAAAAGTAAAATCATCTAATTTGTCTTTGAAATTGTATTTCGGTCCACGTTTCTCGGGTGATTTAAATTGTTCATTTTCTTTGTATTCTTTTAATACACTGTAAACCGAGGTCACACCAATTCCCAAAATGTCAGCTGTTTTCGAAACACATTCCTGTTTTTCGGGGGTTTCAAAAGGTAATAGAGAAGCAGCTTTCTCCTCAAATACGTGTTTATACACGTTCTGTACCATGAGCTTTTCGGTAACGCTTAACGAAACCCGTGGTCTCTTCCTTCTCGGAGACAAGCTTTGACTTGACGTGCTTGGTTGAGGATCCATATTGTTTAAAGGAAACAATGAACCACAATAACCGCAAACACAACGAAACAAAAAACTTAACAAAACAACGTGAGCGCAGAAATAACAAAGTACGTGCTTTCAGACCAGAGGTTAGAAGCCGAATAACAATCAAAATGGCGACCGACGCGCGCGACGTCGATCGGTGTTGTCAGTACTCGCCGCGCCGCGCTTTACAATAAACTATCAAATATTGATACAATTTTATTAGAAATAGAAATAATATTCATTTATGTTTTGGAATGATTAAAATTATGAACTATTCACATTCATTGTTCATTCATTTGATTGAACGAGAACTGTAGCCATCACTATTACTTTAAATATGGCCACATTATTTTACAATTTGACATTAGCCATTGTCAGTTGACTTCGTCTAATTAAAAATACGACTTATAGCTGGTTGTACGTATTCATCATTTTCTTGCGGCCCCGGCGAGACGTGTCGTACTTAAAATTATAAATCGCATAGCGTGTAGTTTTGTTTATTCCAATAAGTAAACAAGTGTTTAAAATGGGCGTGTTTAATTTACCAAAGAAGGTGAGTGGGAATATTTAAGTACTTAGTTCGATTACAAAATGTGCTATTTCAAAGCCGGCTTTGCATTGGAAAGCAACGGTAGTGTTGCAATGACCGCTTTGACCTTGTGAAACTCGCACGCGATAATGAACAACTTGTCCGTACGTCTACAAGTAGGTATTGCATATTTTATACGACATAAAAATATACAATTTATGTAATAGGAAAAAATATATAAAAATAACCTATACTTCAAATTGTTAGGTTTGCCCATGATTACATGAAACATACGAGGAACATCGAATAAAATATACACATACATAACATGTTAAATTAACTCGTCGAGTACCGGTTTTATAGACACAATTAAAGAACAATAGGTCGCGGTCACCGGTGACCGCTTGGTGTTTGACAGTTTAAAGGACGTTTAAAGCATTGTTATATTGATTTTTCAAGCTCAGATAATGTGTTTTGTCTTAATATTTTTAAGTAACGGTTGGCGAATATATTCGCACTGAAATCACTAAAAGAAAACGTAATCGACATACAACAACCGGCTACAAGAACATCTAAATTTAGCACCTGTGTCGTCTGTCACACGTCACTTTGGAATAATGATATATTTTTATTGTCTTTTTTATTTTATAATGTTACGCCTTGTATTCCCTGGATAAATATACATTGGTGCCTACACTATTTATTTGCCAGCGAATAAGGAAGCGAATCCATCCAAAATTCGAACTCGAATTTCTGCAAATCGAAATTGAAGTCCTCGTGTTCTTTTTTACAGATTCGCGAAGAATGCGAAGTTCTACACTTGACAGATAAACAGACCAAGGAGATTATGAGCAGACTCCACAATGATCTGGTCAAAGGACTTGGAAAAGAAACACATGCCAATTCCATTGTCAAGTGCTGGATCACTTACATTCAAGATTTACCCAATGGAAAAGGTGTGTACATACACATTATGAATACGTTTTATAATTTCTTGGTAAGAACTCGCGCCTTTCGTTATAGTTTACTCGACTGTTTACATAATTTTCTTCATATTTTTTTCAGAACGCGGTAAATTCCTCGCTCTGGATTTAGGAGGAACTAATTTCAGAGTATTAATTATAAACTTAGGAGCAAATCACTTTGATATGCAGTCCAAAATTTATGCTATTCCAAATCATATTATGACTGGTACAGGTGTCGCCTTATTTGATCACATAGCTGAATGTTTAGCTAACTTTATGAAGGTGGGTAATTGTAAATTTTACTTCTAGCAAAACACAAGCAAATAAACTGGTTGTATTCTTATCTAATTGTTGTGATATTTTTTATTCTTACCAGGAGCATGAGGTTTACGAAGAAAGACTAGCCCTCGGATTTACGTTTAGCTTCCCTCTTAAACAATTGGGACTCACAAAAGGAATTCTGCAGCGATGGACAAAAGGCTTTTCTTGTTCTGGCGTAGTAGGAGAGGATGTCGTTCAAGGTCTCAAGGATGCGATTGCTAGACGAGGGGTGAGTGCTTTTGAAACTTATTTACAATCACGTTACCATTGAGCAGATTATTGCGTACAATCCTTAACTACGTAATACGATCACTATTACACACCTGATCAAATAAAAAAGTGCTTAATGCAACATATAAATTATTTCTCCTCAAATTGTGCATGAGTAGTGGTCCAAATTATGTAAAAACAGACATTTTACAGGACCTTTCCTTAACTGTGATGGGCATTCTTAATGATGCAACCGGCACTCTTATGTCGTGTGCACATAAGAATCCAAATTGCCGAATAGGGATTATAATTGGTGAGTTGATGATGATAACAGCTCTCTATTAGTGATATAAGGCATGATTATTACTGGAGTCAATATAAGAGAGCCAAGTAGAGGCTTTCAAAATGAGAAACAGCTCAGTGGATATTGTAATCACTTTTGTCTTGGAAATAATTTCATATTTTTACATTCATTTAAAAAGATAATTTCATGACAAAATATTATTTCTAGCAATGTCTGTTGTTTCTTTATTTCTGTAAAGAACCCGAGACATTACTTCATGAATATTCTTTTCAAATGATAAATATTTAGGTATGGTTGGAACACGCTCATAATAATTTTTTCACATTTCATTAATCGGTGTAACATTTTTCGAGTCGACGATAAATTATTCATTGTTTTCAGTAATCAGATTTCGCTATGTCATTTATTTTTCTGACCGCATTTAATTTTAAGAAAGGAAAATATGAACATGATTAATATTACTTAAAGTTCATATGGAACCTATAAGTAAACATTGGAAGCTAAGTTAGCAAAATGTTTTGCTACTCATCGTATTTAACAATCGGCTATTCAAAGATATGTAAACACATTATAATAATATGCCTACGATACCATTGTTATTTAAACGTGTACTTTTGTATCTGTATTAACTACGTTTTCTGTTTAAAACTGATGATACAACAGGTGGACGATCAAGTAAACGATACGTCCACGAGTAAGTACCGAGTGCACTGGTATTAGCATTATAATGGATTAGTGTTTAATTATTAAACCATTAAGTGGTCATAAACACACATAATCATTTTTATACACATCATTATCTAACGAGTTGACTCGCCTTCATTGAAAGCCTCTACGAATCAATCATCTTCAACCTAAACAGGTGTATCTTGTAACCTTTCATGTCTGAAACTCCACTGTTTCCTATCTCACATCTAAAACGCATGTTTTCTCACTCTTGTAGGATGTTCAAATTGACATTTGCGCTATTCTGAATGATACAACGGGTACATTGATGTCATGCGCGTGGAAAAACCACAACTGCAAAATAGGACTCATCGTTGGTAGGTTTACCTTATTATTATTGTGTCTGTGTGTGTGGTGTGGCTGAAACTGGTGTTACGTGTTGATTGCTTGCAGACGTTACATTAACTATGGGATTTTTTAACCATTATTATTTCAATGTACTAAATTGGAGTTTACATGCCATTAATTCCATTTAAAGCGGGTCAAATCAGTAAGAATACCTTGTATTGGTTTGTTGGCATGTGATGGTAATGGCGTGCGGATAGGTATAACGTTTCTTTTTTTTGGTGATCTCTAATAACTAGGTGTGTTGTGTTTGTGGGGCACACCCATCTAACAATATAACAACTAATTTTCACTAACAAAGTTTACGCTCGTCCTGATTATATTCTCAGGACACCGCCCGCTATATTACTTGCAAACGACTCCTGAGCACCATATTTATGTACTGGTTTAATTCCCAGAATACACAAGAAGTATGATAAACACCATTTCATAAACAAATAATATGTAACTAATATAATTTATTGAAACACTGATCAGTTTGTGAAACACGTGAATAATAAAGCAACAATTCTGTTATCTGTGTCGTAGCCACCGTAACTGTCTTTAGCAAATTTTTTTATTGTCTGTCTGACATAATATTATGATTTGTGTCTGGTGTAGTTGTTTATAAAATTACTTATTACTATAGGTACTGGAAGCAATGCTTGTTACGTAGAGAAGACAGAAAACTGTGAAATGTTTGATGGTGAACCTGGAAAACCTGAACTTCTTATAAATACTGAGTGGGGTGCATTCGGAGACGATGGAGCACTGGACTTCGTCCGCACAGAGTTCGACCGCGAAATCGATAACAATTCCATCAATAAAGGAAAACAAATGTAAGAACTCAACTATTAATTACTCGAACGTCCTTAAATGAAATCTTTACTGTTAAACTTGACATTCTCAAGTATATTATTGATACCGTGTTATCTTTTTATGATGTTTACCTACACAAGTAGCTAACTATTACGCAGGTTACATATTTTCCATATTAATAAAAGAAAATGTGTAAGACATGTTGGTTTGTCAGGAAGATGTTTTTTTAAGAATTCGGTTAGCGAAAGCAGATTCAAAAGTTGGAGATATCAAAATACAAATGTGGAGGTGTTAGTATCTACCTGTTATTTTCAAAGTTTTTGTTCTAAAATAATATTTATAATATTTTTTTACAAATGCTAAAACATTTTTACACATACACTGTCAAGATAATGAAACCATAGCAATTCGATTTCGCGTGATTATAGAAGTATAGCGCAAAATGCAATTAGCAAGCAAGCCAAGCAAACACAAAAGCAATAAAAAGTAATCAAGCAACCATTTCCGTCGCAAAAAATGAAAGATTGAAAGAAATCCGGTTAAAACCAATTTAGCAACTTATCAAGTAAATTAGATAGCGGTGTAATGATACAAGCGATAATGCGAAGCAGTATTAGTAGTAAACAGCATAAAGCACGCTAGCCTACATGAAGGATTTATAGTAGAAGTAATAAAAAGTTTAAAGAGAAAATTATTAATCTTAAGAATTATAAATTTTGAACGAAAAATAGCTAATAGCGCTTTTCGGGATACCAAACATGAATAAAATAGAACAAAAAGCAACAAGTAAGTAATTCAAGTCAATTAAGTGCAAAATCGTCAAAATTTGTTATTGAGGAAAACAGGTATTGAAAAACAGGCTTCGCTTAAAACTTTACAACCTTGTACGTCGACAAATCAGAATTAGTTTTATAAAATTAGAGGAATAATGACTAGAGAAAAATAAAGACTTTGTCACTGTCACGCGATAAGTTTTAAAGGCGTTTACCGAGAATACTGAAAATTGCATCAGCTACAGACCCGTGGTCACGCTACTTAACGATACCCACTGACATTAACTACCATATTTTCCTTCATAGCATCGACTTTATTTAATTTAATAATTTATGTTTCCCGTAGCGTTACTATATAAGTATCACTTAATAATGATATTTATTGTTATTACAGACAAGAGAAGATGATCTCTGGCATGTACATGGGAGAGTTGGTTCGCTTAGCGCTAGTAAAGTTCACAAAGATGGGACTACTGTTTGGAGGACGCGGCTCAGACCTGTTATTCCAGCGTGGAAGCTTCTACACCAAATACGTATCAGAAATCGAGTCGGATAAACCAGGAGACTTCACCAGTTGCATGGAAGTGTTGGAAGAACTTGGTTAGTAATACAAACAATCTATTTCCTAAGATTTATTAATCAATCATATCAAAGAGGCAGTTTAGAGGTTTCGGAAAACAATTAATTAAAATGCCTTGGTGTAAATATTATTCGCACTTTCTCATTTTAATTAGGAGCATGAGCATAATTTACTTATCTACTGTTAATATTTATATCGAGCAGGATTATCACCGATTTGTATTTATCATTTTGTTTACATAACACGCTGCTGGCACGTACATTAAATCTGTTTCTGTTGATGGAAAAGTTTTTATCTGCATAAAAAATAATATAAAAACTATCTCTGTTAATTATGTATACCTAAATCTGCTGATATAATTCGTACATACATATACTTCATCATATTTGGGAGACGTACAGCCAATAAGCTTTAAACTGTTGAAGGATTTTAGTTTGTAGCTCCCGAAAAGAAAATATGCATTTAAATAATATTCTAATCTAATTCACGTTTTGGTACTTTTCGGGAAAAAATTACCTGTATCGCGACCTTGCAAAAATGTTATTATTCAAATCAAAAACTAGCAAAATATGAATTACACTTGTTAAAGGTCAACGGAACCTTGAACGTCTATGATATTTTATGTTTGAGCGACGACATTAATATAGAATTAATTAATAACCGGATTCAGTATTAATCTTAATATCAACAAAAGATAATAATTATATTTAATTGCCCAATAATGTTATCTTAAACCTCGCTTAAAATAAAATCTGAGGACAGTATTAAACGGTAAAGTTAAGATATTTGTTATAACATGTATGATATAATTGTTAATTGAATAAACGATGGAACTTTCATCTCAGTCTGTCATATTCGTGTCGAAACGGCTTATAACTTCTTATTTCAGTATTTGCTCATTATTTGATAACAAAACCGTAGCCATTAATTTCTAAATTGCAGTGACTGTGAAGATATGAAGTCTAAACACAGCATGACAATTATTTTAATGAGGAAATAACATCATACCTGTTTTTCTCTAATTAGGCAGGCAGATAATCTTACAGTGGTTGAGCTTATTAGCTTGAACTTTGTGTTATATTATTTATTTTAAGCAATTTCCATACCAGCATCAATTATGGCTGACATTTCCTTGAAATAATATCTCTAGCACCTGTATAAACCGCTTTGGCCGTGACTATGTTAATTAGTTCTATTTAGCAGTATTGACATGACAATGTAAACAACTGATAGAAAGGCGTCGTATAGAAACAATAGTTGTACGATAATTACTACTGTCGCACGTCATTATAATCATATCGACGTACATAATATAATATAGTTAGGTATGACACGTTAGCACGCGAAAAGCATTAGGTTGGCTACATTCATGTATGTACATGTCGATATATGACGTCCAATTTTCACTGAAGCCGATAACGAATGTGCTTCGTCAGAATTTGAACGCAACAAGAAGTTTACACGTGATGAAAATAGCAGATTTTTATTTATAAATCATCCGTCATACCTAGATGAAAATAATATTAATGTGGCTGTAGCTTATGTACCTATTCGCAGTATTAGGTATATTGGTACAAGCAATATTTGATTTTATAGTTTAATTTTTTGAACTGAACTCAGATCTGAAAATCGCGTCGCGTTTCGCGCGCGCCTCAAAGAGTCATCAGACCACCACGGATGGGGCCCAATTAGGGCTGATCGAATGACATCTCCCGCTTCACCCAGGCGGGAGAAATCATTCGATGATTTTCCCCGATTCATGTCGAACAGGAGACAGAAACGAACCGTCGGGTAATGGTGATAATATCTATTAATTTGTGGCATACCTTTATCTGCAGGTCTATCTCACGCGACGGAGGCTGACATGGCTGCAGTGCGCCACGTGTGCGAGTGCGTGTCGAGGCGCGCGGCGCACCTGGTGTCGGCGGGCATCGCCTGCCTGCTCAACAAGATGAACGAGCCCCGCGTCACCGTCGGCATCGATGGCTCCGTCTACCGTTTCCACCCTCATTTCCACACACTCATGTGCGAAAAGATCGCGCAACTTGTACGGCCTGGCATCCAGGTTTGTTACCTAATGATTATTAAAAGAATTCAATATAAACCTTGATTAGAGGTGAGACTGGTGAGCATTAATTTTAATTGCGATTGAGCAAAAAATTTACCAAAAATTATTAAAAATTCAGTAGCCGTTTGGGTATGTATATGGTCTGGCCTTAATTTTATACAAAAACTAATTATAATTCGTTTATAACTAATTATATTCGCTTCCGGCAAAGCTGTTTGAAATTATCATTATCTACGCAGACTTACGGAAAAATAACAAATAAGACTCTTTGAACCTGACTTACATTCGGTACTTTAACACCGGACATGCTGCCAAAACTTCTGATCTGACGATTTAGTTATTAGTTTCCATTGGATTGGAATCTAATCAAAACAAATAGAGACGTACGTCAGAGGTAAAGCATAGTATAATTAAAAACAGTATCTCAACTTCCTAACTTCTCTGGTGTGGTTCTAGCGAGCACCTAATCACATAGTTAGCTATTTATAATACTTTAACTGCTAAAGAATTTACTGTACTGGCCGTGCGTCATAATTATCGCTCCTAAAAGTTTAAACAATAAGTTACCATTCTTAACATGAACCTTATTCGCCAATTTTTAAGAGTGGCGATTTAGGGAACAGAGATTAAAGTTCCCTATGATCAAAAAGGAGGATCCTCCAACCAGGCGAGGTGATCGTGCCTGGCGGGCTTTCTGCCCAACAGTTGTTTGTTGGGATTTTCTATCCGTGTTAATTCGCATATAAACTTCGCATGTGTGGTGTAGGATTTTTGTGACGTCTTCCGTTGATTTGTTTTCATCGATAGTCTGTGACATAATATGTCGCCACAGCGATCTCAAAGTAATCTGTTAACGTCTTTTTATTCTCAGTTCAGCCTATTTTGTACTATGTCTATTAGAAACGCTATCAGAAAATATCCGGGACTGCCAACACCCACAATTCATCGAAATTTGCGTAAATAGAGCTTTATAGATAAAACCACTATCGCGTGTTAGTAATCAACTAAATTATGACGCGCTGTTGTATTTCTAGATTAGGTACTTTACTTTTTTATATAGCGCGCAACGTTCAAACTCCAAACTGATAAATCATATTATTGTACAATAATACATTGCGTGTTCTGATATTAGTGTCAAAAGGAGCACGTAATCATATAAAAACAAACGACACACCCACTTTAATTACTCGATCTCTGGTCTATTTATGGTCTATCTCACAATGTCTGAGTAAGTTTCTGTTAGTCTAAAGCCTGAGTACTGAAAGGTTACTCAATTTTAAGTTCTACTTAAATATCGTGCCATCTCTGTCATTTTACAAAGAACTTGTAGCGACAAACTATAGAAAGAAAGAAAAGAAAAAAAGCATTTATTTGGTTGTAAGCACACACTCAAATATAAAAAAAATATAAAATTAAAAAAGGAATACAGATACTTATATAGGTAATACAAAACAATAAAGATAAACTCTATAGAGTAATTACAAGAAAAAAAATTATAATGAAATAGTGACAATACAATAATAACACAGAAATTAAATATTAATGAAACAAGATACTAATTATATTCATTAGCGCGTGCCGTTGCCAAAAGGGCCTCCATCTCAGCATTAAGTTGAGCCTACATACTTAGACGCGACTTAAAGTTTAGTGCGTTTGAGATTTTGGACATAACTGAAGCATGTTTTTTAGAAGAAAAATCTCAAAATAATGTATCAGTGAAGCAATCAGCAACTGAATAAGACATTGCGAAATTATAGCTCCTTTTAAAAGAGGACAGATAGTATAAAACTCAAATACTTTCATCGAATTTGAACTTTACCAAAGAACATTAAATAAGTTTTTTGTACCTACACGCTGTACCAAACAACACGTCTTTGTCTTTATTTACTTAGCCATTACAAGACAAAAATGACTTTCAGGGTAGGGCACTGAATAATTTCATAATAATTGTAATTGACCTAAGTATAAGTAATGCCTGGTCGATAATAATCAACGTGAGATAACAGACCTTATTTTTAATAGGTAATTATTCCATCGTTACCTACACTCAATGATTAAAATCGTTTCTATATTCTGATACAACGATTTATAAATAAAAATGACTGAGTATCTACTTGGGTGTTTTTTAAATTATAAGACTGTCAGGACAAGGCATATCCGCAACTAAATATTGGAAAATCCATTAAGACATCCGTTGATGTATTAAATAAATAGGCAACCTGGGCCCAAGGAAATCAAAATATGATAACTATGATAAGTAATTAATACAGCAATTTTTCACAGTATTTCATAATGTAGCCTAGAGACAAACGTAACATAATCAAGTAGATTATGTACGTTTGGCCTATCCTAATGATCGATAATAATTTCACCTGATCGAGTCGTGATTTGTCTCTGATAACGATGGAACAGACTATCACATCAGCAAACTCATTCCGATGACTACATCAAATGACTTGGCTTAAATTACACACAGTCACTATTACCGGGTATATGCTTTGAAAAGTCGTCCACTCCAATGATATGAGTGGACAGTTATACCTATATCAATCCACTCATATAGTTGACTTAAGATATATTATCTATCTATTTTAAGTCATTCATCTAAACATCAAATTCATAATTAGTGCTCACCAGTGCCCCACTGAGAACAAAAATCGTTTGATTGCTAGTTATTAATTAATTAAGTAATGTTTAATTGTGTTACAGTTTGACCTGATGCTGTCAGAAGACGGTAGTGGTCGTGGTGCCGCCCTAGTAGCTGCAGTGGCCTGCCGCCAGAGTGGCTCCGTCGCGTAGACAACATCTGCCTGCACCGCACACGGCGAACTCTCCGACGACACGCGTTCCCCGCGACAACGTAACTCTGAGCCTTCGCATGTAAGCCGCCTAAGCAAACAGACACTGCAGTGATTATCTCCTAAATACTAACAATATATTTTTAAAACAATATTTACACCTACGTGTACCTTCTATCTCTAAAAAAGATTTTAACTGTTTTACAGTGTTGTATCATACCCGCGATATACTTAACCGTTTAAAAGATGGATCCAACTTGCGGTTAATTCAGTAAATTTAAATAAAATATATTAGGCCGTAGTTTTAAAAACTCCAACGGCTTTCATGCATCTGCTCTCTGTTGGATTAAAAAAATGTCGTTGCTAAAAAATATTTCTGTTCCAATCTTTTGGCACGTTAGACACTAAGATTCAATATTTCGCCGAATACGGGAACTTAATTTTACTTAATTGCGATTCGTTATGTACTTATAATGACTTAAATCTAGTCATGGGATTAAGAGCTGGCCTTTATAAAGTTCTGTATTTATTATTTTTGTATATTTTATTAAGGCTCTTACACACCTAATTTTGAAATATGTAAAAGAATAAGACTGATGTATAGATGATAACATCATCGATATAATTAGTCTACAAAATTAAAATTGATCTTAGTGTCGATCGGATAACCGCGATACCTAGCATTTCCTTGCCAGCATACTGTAATATGGCTCAGAATTCTTTTCAGTGACTTGTGTTAGCAATAAGTAGTTAGTGATATAGTTATGTATATTATATCGGAGAGATAGCTCTTATATTGTTAAGTAGGTATGTAATTTTATATACTAATAGCAACTGTTAATAAAATTAGAATGATGATATTAAAAATTACTTAAAAACTGAACACTAATTACGAAGTACTTCTTTAGATGCATTGTTTATTCATATATAGACATATTTTATACATCGACGTTGTCGACTGATGTATTTTCTATACATTTATCCGTAATTTTGTTATAATTCAAGTGCTGAGTACTTAAAATGACACCATTTATATAAGGTTTTATTGAAGTTCTGGCTAGACTAACAAGGACCATACATTATATTTGTAATTAACTAACTTTTGCCATTTAATGGGATTATCCTGATATTGATCATAAAATAGACAATTTAATTTTGATGTGAATCTCAAAATCTTCTTTGTAAATGGCAATTAAAGGTCTAATTAATGCACATTACTAATATGTACTATGGACGTACATAGTTACAGCACATTTTTAATAGCATCATTCCAGCGAGATGTTGTATAATAGCTATGAGAACTTTAAAAGATTGCCTAGCCAGTTTATGCAATGAAAATTAATTTTAATAGAGCTATATTAGATAATAAAATTAGATCAATGAAATTAAAGAAGTTGCTTAAGTGTTTTGATATTTTACTGTGATAGAACTAGGACTAGTTCAAGTATATTATTTTCTACAAATAGTTTATCAACCTTTTTTAACAATTAGCACTTGAAGCCGTTTGGGTGCGTATAATTTGGTCTGAATTGAATAAAATATGTAACAACAATAGTAAATATTAAACCAACAGCAGTGTTATTCAAAGTGTTCCAATAATAATCGGGTTTACGATTTCGCAACATACATAAAATGTATAAATCAATAACGCCCAATCATAGTTCCTAGTTTCATTATATAGGTGCATTTTAATTTATGTATGATACGTTATGTGTTGTTACATGTGTGTGCTATCGTACTGTGACGAACACTCTTAGATTTATTTATAACTACTGCGTTATTTATTAATATCGGTGAATTAAGTATACAATTTTAGAATTTATTAAGTAGACACATCTTTTCTTTTAACAAAAAAGTAAGTACATTATTATTTAGTAGCACTAATGTATAATAACCTTGTCGTCATAACAACGGTTTTATTTTTCATAAAATTATGGATGAATATAAAGTACAAGTATATTTTTCATGTATTTTATTGATGTAATACAGGAATATGCGGTAATAAAATATGGTTGCAGTTTACTATGCTCTATTAATTGTAAACAATTCGGCAATGAATATAATAAAATACGTTTACTTCACATGCTTTGCTCAAACGGAAATTGTATATACAATATTATATTTATATAAATTACAGGAATCTAAGAAGTACCCTTAAGGTTTCTTGTTTCAAAATCGTAAGACCATTAATTAAAGGTATGGAAACTTTCTGCAATAATTAACAAAATGCCACATTCCATTGTATCTGGAGGGTCAAAAATTGTGTGTTGATTTTATTACTACCCGCAGAAAATGTACATATCAATAAGCCAAAAATATCGTATGGCGTTCATATATTTATTTATGTTTAGAAATAGCTATGTATTTTGGATATTTCTTTATCAAAAATTATTGATTGTTATTATTATTACATGCTTATAGATATTTTTTGTAATAAGTTCAATTATGTTTGAACCTGTGTAAGGTAGTAATCAAATTCATTATATACCTACACGCTAAAGTATAGGAGCCCCTAGAAATGTTATTATTTCAAAAATAAATTTGTATAAAACCTAATGTTGTTGTTTTGTTTAATATTTAGTGAAATATGTGTATTCACATCCATGTTTAATCTCGCACATGGTAATAAACAATGATAATTATATGCTTGTGTAAAATGCTTGGAAATATGGAAACTGGAAAGGTAAATCTTACTCTTACTACAAGAACCTGATCATTAGAACAGTGTTTTAAATGTTAGTTAATTATTTAACCTAATTGGTTAACTAGTAAATTACTTCACACGGTGTATATAGCCATCTAAAAGTGATTTTATAGCATTAGCAACTTAAGGCCTACTCGCACACTTAGCAGCCTTGAACCCCTGGTTGCAATAGCCATAACAAATTTCTGATTGCACTTGTTGGCTGTTGTTGCCGCCTTTTCGAGTGACGTTCTTTAAAAAAAGAATAATCATTGGATTATCCTCTTTTTTTAAAAAAATTGCATCTTGCAAGTGACCTGTTTAACAGGATAAGTAAAAATGTTTAAGTTGTTCCACATTCACATCCTTCAACGAGAAGATCACAAATGGCTGTCCTTTGGCTGCCATTACGGGGTGCTCAAACATTTCGGCCGCCGCAGCGTTCCTTCATGACCCTATCATTATTTAACAATGATTAGTAAAGCGAAATAAAATCCAAAAGTCTGAGGAATAATTTATCTTTCTCAATCTTAGAGGTGTGTGTAGTGAAGTGACATCTAGGACAGCAAAAAACGTGAAAGAAATTATTACAGGTATGTACATCGATTAGTCATAATTTACGATCATATTAAAATAATCAGTACAATCAGATTGATCCATCAGATCTCATAAATAGAGAACAATTTAATTGTCTTCATCATACTTTTCACACTTACATAGGTTACTTATTTTTAAATAATAACGATTAAAAAGTGAGACCGCAAATAAAATATAAGTGTTTATATGAATTTAGTATCTGCCTGCAGATCGTGCATTCTATGTAAACGAGATTAACAACACTTTATACATGGCAGGCACAATCAGACGGATTTCTAGCAGGTTTCTTGGGAGTGCTAAGCCTCTTAGATGTGCCGGTACCATATTGTATGCCGGAACCTATCCTCTCAGGGTCTAATTCACCTGTCTCAATCTTAGCTAAAATGGTTTTAGAACATTTTAGGAAAGCTTCCTCTACATTTTCTCCTGTTTTAGCACTAGTCTCCAGGAACATCAATTCTGTAAAAAAATAAAGTCTATTGTCACAGATATAAGGTTTCACAATGTATAATAGGATGACATATATTTTACAAAGTGTTGAAACTACTGTATGGCGGATGCGGAAGGGAGTTACTTACCATTTTCTTGGGCGAACTGACTAGCTTCTGTGAATGTGACTTCTCTTGATTCTTCCATATCTTTTTTGTTCCCCACAAGTAAAATTACAATATTTGGACTAGCCAAAGTTCTAGCGTCTCGGAGCCAATTAGACAGAGCATTAAACGAGTCGCGCGATGTGATGTCGTATACGAGCAGAGCTCCTGCGGCACCTCGATAATAAGAGCGTGTGACTGAACGGAATCTTTCTTGGCCTGCCGTGTCCCATATCTGTAATTTAGTGGACTTTCCGCCTATGTTTACAATTTTTGAACCAAACTCGACTCCGATTGTGTGACATCTATCTTCTTTAACTGTAAAAGAGATAATTATTTAAGCAACCACTTTTATTTCACGACAAAGTTGTATGAGAATAGGACCTCAAATTACTTCTGAACTACTCAATATCAGGACTTGCGTGTATGCCTATGTGATATGTGGAAGAATAAAAATATTCAGTACATCATAATAATCATGCTCTCGTTTTTATTCTTTTAATACGATTATCCCATAAAACGCAATAGTACTGTTAGCAACTACCACAATTTCTTACGATGTCAAAATATAGCAAGTCCTGGAACTGGATTCTACTTATGTAAATCTTCAACTAAATATCTATATTGTACTAATTAATGTTGGATGACAATACTCTAGTCTATAATGTTTAACTGTTCGCTGTGTTTAGTAGTCCGAAGGAAATTTTTATGTACCTAATAACATGTCACTTGATAATAAAATAAAACTAAAATAGATTAATTAGCTTTTATCCTTCTGAGGCTTTAAAATATTAATTTATTTCTACAATTATAAGATGAAGGGTTTGTTGTTTTGAACATGATAAATCATATCAATACTAAAAGACATATAAAAAGGTTAATAGCTTCATATTCTTACATATCTTACATTCCTTCAGACAAGTAAACACACATGCTTAACAATAAATAATTCATATTATCTATAACTAGACTACCGAGTGTATGGATGATGACAGACCACCTCTTAAGAAGGAGGCCTTTGTTCAGCTGTGAATGTAATCTACCTGATTATAATAATAATGATGAAACTACCAATACCAACATGACTAAAGAGAAAGGAACTTACTTTAATAGTGATTCATATGAAATATAAAACAGCTCAGAACAAAGTTGATACCATAATCAAGTTTATAAAAGGTCGAAGAAAATATGAGTGAAAATGAAAACATTTTCTATCATGCGCCATGAACACAGTACAAACTTTTAACTGTGTATAATTTTATTAACTTTTTAACATCTCCATAATAAGATGTATTTATTAGATAATTAGTTATACATCAGCTGCCAGTAAGGGCATATGTCTGAGAGTCAAATGTATGAATACATTATACCATTATAATAGATAATCTTCCAGACAAGTTCACACCAAAATTTCCCTTTTGTTGTTTTGTTTCCCAATTAGAGACTTTTCCAATTAGTTTTTGTTGTTAGCAATGGGCCGTAATAAGCACTTTACATAAACTGCTGTCATTTACACAACCCACTAATGTGGTACAAATTTGTTTTATCCATATAAAATAAATAATATGACTTGGAGACGATCGGTGTGCTAACGCTATAGGGATGCAGGCGCAGCTACGCACTTCAAAGCAAAGTGTTGACAATTTTATTTGTGTTGCCACATATGTTTAAAATTTTCTGTGCCAAATATACTATATATGCAAATATGTAAATTACTGACTAATTGTGCTCTAAGTTGAAAATGACTTTACCCTATGACTCGGATCAAGGAATGTAATGAAAAACAGTGTTCTATTTAAAGCTCAATAACAATAACATTTTTTATACAGACTGCCTTTGTGTTAGTTGTCTACATACTACGTCCGATAAAATAGGTTGAGGTATTCTTTTTCATTTATTTAAGTAACAATCTTAAGTGTAAATGATATGAAAGTAAAGTACAATGAGATGTTGTTACCCTACAAACAATCATAATTGAAATTGCAAAATTTGTAACGACATCGAAAATATGGGTGTATAGTTTGCTACTCCTTTCTCGGATCATCACTTAGCTCATATATATTATATATACCTATGAATTATAAATAATATTTCACTTACATTTGTTTCCAATGAAATTATTGAGAAGGCTCGATTTTCCCGTTCCAGCACTTCCAATTACTAAAAATTTAAACAAGTATTCTGAAACAAATAAAATTCATTGAATGTAAACAGTGTTATAAATGCAGTTACTGTTTTACTTCCACATTCGCTTAAAACACCATGAATATGTACCGTAGGATTCAGACATCGTGTAAGTTCGTGAAATAATGCACAATCAGATCACCAAACTGCCTTAACTTATGTAAATAAACGAGCACGATCTTAAAAATTTACACTTTTTATGCTAAAATAAGATTCTGATCGGATTTTACGCGAAATTTTTGCTTTCACAACACAACATCCAGTGACAATGACAATTGACAAGACCGAGACCATAAGACAATGACAATGACATCGTTTGTTTTTTCAAGCACTAACTTTAGGTATCACGACGGGTGCCAAGTCTTTATGTCTGAAGTATTTCTGAAGGAGTCTATGGGATCAAAATAGATTTACCTATTTTTGCTTGAGCTTGAACATGGCTTGAACACAGTTTAAATAATAAAATTATAGCTTAATTTGTTCAAAAAAAAAGATGATGAGAAAAACCATGGCAATTAATGCTCTATCATCTTAAGCCTCTTCTCTTAGAAGAGGCTTTTGCTCAGCAATGGACCCAATGGACCAGTGGGCACCTGATGATAAGGAGATGACAAAGATCATAATGAACTAAAAAGGCAGCAAATCAAAGTGACTTCTCTGACCTGCTTGACTGCTTTGATCATTTGATTGATTTTGACATTGACAGTTCAAAAATAACACAAACACAACAATAGTATTGTACCTTGTGTAAATGAAATTTTAGTGTATTTTTTATTACCGAAACCGATTAACAATATTATTTGCTCTTTACTGGTCATGTTTTAGAATTAAATTTCAAAATTATTAAAATGCAGTGCTCCGTTCGTCATGTGGGTTGTATTCCGAAATGATATATTGTTTTGCTAATAGTCGTATATGTACGTATGTTTTGCTTTTAGGTTTCCCGGAAAATTATTACTCCTAGGATCTTAGTTCCAAGGAATAACCAAGTTAGAACTTTTTGGGAGTACGTAAATATGACGTTTAATAAACCAGATCCTGATCGAATTAAGCAACTTGGCCCAGATCGTGCCTGCGCAGAATGGGTATTACGAAACGGTGGAAAAGTAGTATGGGAAGGCGGAAAGAAATTAGCTGATTACAACTTATTACCATCAGAGGAAGAAGCGGTTCCAAAATTAGTAACAATTGATGGCACAGACTCTTCCATTTCACATTATGGCTTCCCCCATTTAAGTGTGTAAATCTTCAATAATAATTATCATTCATAGGTTCACAACATTGGATGTGATGTTTTTTTTTCATACATAATGGAATGGTGTTTGGCCACCATCTCGCCTGATGTCAACTTGTTGGTAGTTCTCTTTATTAGAATATGTTTTTAGGTTTATTTAACTCTAGAAGTAAAATACTTCATACTAGCAAATCAAGATAATATTGTCATTGAGTGAAATAACCATATTCATTTTGAATTACTCTGCAGTTTAAGTTGATTTCAATTTTTTTTATTTTCAGTTGGATGTGAGAAGTTGAGCAACATAATCCTTCACAATGCAGACTACATTGATGACAGAGCCCTAAAAGGGCTGAGTTTTGGACAAAGTACATTAACACATCTTCAAGTATCCAAGTGTGTGAATGTCACAGATGCTGGATTGAAAAGCTTAATTTCACTTAATAAATTAGAACTTCTAGTTTTGTTCAATTTAGTAAGTGTTGAAAACATAGAAGAATGTAAGGAATATATTCGGCAACATTTGTCTAATTGCAAAATAAGAGACTTGAAAGGTAGGCTAGCTAATATTTGATTAACAGCTGTTATACTTTTTTTACTGATTATAACTGTAAGTACCTTGTTGCTTATTCTGCAACAAAATACATTTACTGTTTATACCTTTGATTTTTTTTTTATTAATTTTTTTTCAGATGCCACACCTTCAAATGAAAAACCACAATAAAAACAAATATGTATTATATATTATAAATATAGTATGAAGATAAAATTGTATATTTTCTTATCTCGAATCAAATTAAAACTAGTCAACTGTAAATACAAAGTTGTAATATTGAGGTAGTGTTTTTACAATAAACATTTACTAATTATTTTGTGACTCCTTTTCCAACAGCTTCATTTACATTTTTATAGCCATCCCGTTGCAGGAGTTCAGCTAATTCATTTTTTATTTTTGACACAACTGGTGGGCCGTGGTATATCAAAGCTGTGTATATCTGAACAGCACTTGCTCCTGCCAATATTTTATCATATGCATCTTGGCCAGTAAATACTCCTCCAACACCAATGATGGGAACTTTACCTGAAATTAAATTGATAAAGAAGTAAAAAATTCTGTTCCCATACAAAGTATTTAGAAAATGAGTAGACTTAAATAAGTCCAGTCAAAGCTGATCAGAATGGTATGATACCTTTAGTCAATTTGTACATTTGCTTAATCATTTCAGTAGATTTATTTGCTAGTGGTTTTCCACTCAACCCTCCAGATTCCTTTGAAAACTCAGTATTCTGGAGCTGGGGTCTTTCAATTGTAGTATTTGAGATTATCAAGCCATCAACTTTGCTTTCAGTTTGCAAAATTACTGATACAATCTCTTTCATTTCATCTTGAGTTAGATCTGGAGCAAGTTTTAAAAGCAGTGGAGGTTTATTATTTGAATTCATTGAGTTTCTTGCTTCATTAATTTTTTTCAGAAGTTGATACAGTTCCTCTTTTTTCTGTAATGACCTTAGGCCTGGAGTGTTCGGGCTGTAAAAATAAATACCTAATTAGTAACAATATAATGCAGAGTGATTAAATTATAATGACAATAATCTTAAATGCATGTATATGTAGGTACCTGCTTATATTTATGACAAAATAGTCTGCTACATCTGAGAATTTCTGTATACCTAAAATATAATCCTCAATTGCATTTTCTGACAACTTATTTTTGCCTAAATTGATTCCCAATAATCCTTTATCCAACAATGCCTTTTCTAGCATTCCTATTTTCTTGTGAACTTGTTCATGCCCTTCACTATTGAAACCATATCTGTTAATAACTGCCTCATCTTCAGGTAAACGGAATACTCTAGGCTTAGGATTCCCAGGTTGTGCTTTTGGTGTGACTGACCCAATTTCTACAATAGAAAAACCTAAATTTCTCAAGCCTATTATAGCATCACCATGTTTGTCAAAACCTGCAGCGATTCCAATAGGATTACTCAAATCATAATCGAGGAATTTTGTTTTCTGAAAATTCAATGTAAATCTTTAATATTTTGTAATCGTAAATTTCAATAAACATCTTTAGTTATTTGGTAAGTACTTAATTATTTCCTGTAATTATGTGAATATGGTACTTACCAATATTTGAGGATCATCACCTTTTTCTGAGGGAAAGATTCCATATTTTATGGCTTTAACTCCAAGATTATGAGCCAACTCAGGGCTAATATACTGGATAAGTGGTTGCAAAAAATTGACATAGTAATTGTTAAAATCTTTCGTATAGTAAATTAACTGGTAAGCTACAGCCCCGCCAAAAGTTACAGTACATAAAGACTTCAGCTTGCTCTGAAAAAATACAAAACAACATTTAATCAAAGGTTTTTTAAGTTTTACAACCATTAGTGTGATGAACAATACGCGTAACAATTAAAACGGATGCACAGGACCGGCACGGACGCGATCTGTGCCGAGTTAGTTATGATACTCACAATTGCTTGTTGTTTGCTTGCCATTGTTAAATTATATAATAAATTATGATAGCAATGATAAGGTTATAAAGTCTTAAAATAAGCAGATCATCATATTTTTAGTCTCCTCTCAAAAGGTATAATAAGTATAGCTGCTGAGCCCTGGGGTCTCGTTCCAAAGAGTTCCTCGTTGTGTCAAGGGTATCAACAGCACTCAGTTCATTTAGCTGATTAGAGGTAGAGTAGTAATAAGTATTAATCTTCTTCGTAAAATAAAATAGACAACAGTTCACACACTGCATAGATATATAACATATCATATCAGTGACACACTGTCACTCATCTGTCTGTCAGTAACTGCCATAGATTATATAACTATATTTATATCACTGATATGATAAGACTATGGATGTGAAGCAACTACGAAAAAAACGTGCCTACCTAAACTTCACTTGGTCATTCGCAATGGCGGATAGAACTAGGGATGTGACTATTGAAACTGTAGAAGTATCGATATTTTGGTATTGGTTTTAGTTGATTTATCGATAAAATATCATTATTTTATGATTCATCTGAATTTGATTTTTATCTAGCTACTAAACATTACTAAAAATATTAGCGAAATATATTTAGTAGTTACTGCGTGCACTATTACTCCGGTCGATCGTGTCCATACATTCACATCATACCTTTCACGATACATATGTATCGTAATTTATGAAAAGGATTTACCATCAACTGGTTAACATTTACATACTTAAGGTTAAGTAATTTTTGAGGGTCGAAAAATAAGACTGTTTCAAAGTATTCATAAAATCAAGATTTATACATAATATAGTTACAATATCTTTGTATTTTTCGTACTGTTTCCCAGTAATGTAATCTGCAACTGACGACTGACTGATTTCGAGACGACTCCAGAACTGGTTCCAAGTTTATTTTCATGCACAGATCTGGCTAGAGGCTGCAACATAAATAGTATAATTTAACTTACTTGATTCAATCGAACATAGATTATCTCCATAGATTCTATAGGTACTGTACTAAGGTCTGAATGAAAATGTTTGTACATTACAATGATAGTGACAGATAGCGTAGGAGTTATATTTCATTTGTTTGCTTCATTGGAGTCTCTCGAGCGGTATTTGATAAAAATACAATTTAGAAATATATGCTTTTCCCACAAGTATTTTTCCGTATCTTATATTGTACAAAAATTATTCATGTTTTGTATTATTTATAACATTACGTAGGTATTGATTATGGTGGAATATTGTCGATAAAATAAAATTTTTGACGAGTACATATTTAATGTTTTTGCATTTTGTCATTATGTCAAATTAATGCACTTTATCATTCAGAATTTAGTATAGTTTTTGTTCTACTTTTGAAGCATTTATTAATATGAACGATAAAATTATCGATACGGGAACAAACATGTACATCACTATTTTTCAATGAAAAAATTTTTAGACGTATTTCAACTAAAATTATTGAAAATAAGCACTGCATTAGTTAGAAAAGTATTGTATTTAGTCAACTTGCAGCAAGCTCACTTGAATAGTTTAAAAAACAGAGATATTTTAATGAAAAATAACAGTACTTAGCGATGTAATGTTACACCTGCCGATTTAGTGATATTTTTAGTGCTACATCCAATAACACTACACCCGGGCATAGTTCTTCTCACTAACCAATAATTTCTTTGCTTACCACGCACAAAAATTACAGGAATTCTAAAAATTTTCGTAACAAAATATTATTGACCAATGCTTTGACAGCTGATGTACCACTGACATGCACTGATAACAGAGACCAAGATGGCGAATTCGGCAGAACTAGGTATTTTTGATGACGTCAAAAAATTATTGCCAGAATGACAATAATGTGTTGTCTCTTTCTGCATAAGCAAAGAAACATAAGTAAAAAAGAAACAACAGCATGTTTATGAATTTACCGTCGAGATGGATCTTAAATTCTACCCGTAGACAATAGTCACACATCTATGTTATATATCTATGATTTATATACTATAAAAATATTAACATATCAGTGGTGACTGATTGCATGCCGGTGCTGACTGCAGACAGACAATACAAAATGTACTCTGTTGCGCTGACAGACACAGAGCATGTAATTATACTGACAGACTGTCGTCGTCACTAGCACGGAATATAGAATACAACACTAGTCACTGGTCGCTCTGTCTGTCACAATGACAAGGGTTCCCAACTTTCGAATCTACCCTCCAAAATAATTTAAACTAATGAGGGGGTTTTCTCGAAATAAATTATTAATTTTGTATTTTTTGCCCGTTTTCGTCTCAAAGGTTTTTATATTCCTCTCTTCCTACATACTAGGCTAGGCTAGTTTGACCATTTATTTAACATCGATAATTTATTTATTTGAAAGATTAAACATAAAATCATGACATTTTAAAAGTTATATAATACAAGGAAAATATGTACCACTTAGGTTACTTACTATCTTTAACTAGATTGTGAACTGAAGACTTTTTTATTTGTAGCCGTTACATATATTTTTTTTAATTCTCCATAAATTACATTTTTAAATACTAATTACACAATAAAAAATAATATTTAAAAATGTAGCCTTTATTGTTATTATGTTGCTTAACTATTATTAGTACTGATAGGTTACCCACCCACTGATAGGTAAGAAGTCGGTGCCATAAGTTCAATACAAAATTATACATTAAAACCTTAATTTAATAGCTACCTAATTCACAATTTTGTGGACAGTTATATCATTATGATATGAGCTTATGGCACCGACTTCTAACCTATCAGTGGGTGGGTAACCTATCAGTACTAATAATAGTTATTTTTTGCTTTTTAGTTTAGACTTTTTGTTTGTTATTAGTTTTTGGTTTTTTGAAGTCGGTTTTTTAAACGCAGTTTTTATTTTATTATTTTATCATTTTCAGTGTAAAGCTACATATACCCGTTTTGTTACTTATAATCTACATAGGTGCAAAGTTCTAATCAATACAAATTATACAAGCCTAAACACAAGGTACTTACAGTATACCGTTGAGGAGTTCCCTTAACAATTACACTTCTTCATCATCAGACCCTTAATGACAGCCCTACTCTATCTAGGTGTAAAGTCCTCATCAATACAAATTAATTAAGCCCAAACACAAGGTAGTTACTGTATACCGTTGAGGAGTTCCCTTAACAATTACACTTCTTCATCATCAGACCTTTAATGACAGCCCCACTCTATCTAGGTGTAAAGTCCTCATCAATACAAATTAATCAAGCCCAAACACAAGGTAGTTAGTATAAACCGCTGAGGAGTTCCCTCGACTGTCTATCGGCTCCATCATCAGGTCGACTCCAGACCCTTATCAAATTGTAGTGTTTAAAAATCCTAATTGAAAAACATAATAGTCGCATCACTCGCCCATATAATTTTCGAAAGTTCCCCTCGGTTTCCCTAGGATTCCATCATCAGATCCTGACCTCATGGAAATGGGACCATCTTGGGAGTATACCCGTTCCAACAAAACAAAAATTTTGCAAATCGCTTCACGCATCTCAGAGTTATGCGCGTACATACATACAAAAAAAAAAAAACAACATGCCGGCCGAACGTATAACCTCCTCCTTTTTTGAAGTCGGTTAAAAATGTAGCCTTTATTGTTATTATGTTGCTTAAGAGGTAAATATTTTTTAGAGCTGGTAACACGAACCATCATACGTCATTGCCAAAGTGTGACAAGGTGTCAAGCAAAAATTGTCTGTCGCTGTCAACCACAGACCTACTATAATATGGACCAGAAATACCTACAAAATACGCGTGCATACCTACTAGAAACCGAGGCCTAAAAATGGCTGCCATTGCTAGGGAAGTACTGTAGTCAAAACCAAAAAGTATCGATATCGATAGCAGAGTTTTATACATTAAAAATCTTCTGGAACTTTGGATTTTTTTTAAAGGTACAAATCATCGAATGACTTCAAGCCACTTCTGACGCAGCACTTCATTTTTAGGGAATTTGTGGAAATAAAAAAAAAACATAAAAATTATTTCAGTTTTGTACATTTAGTGGTACAAATCATAGACTGAACTAAATGAAAGTACCTACTGTATGAAGAATTGATATTATTATGTTATGGTACTATCCCTATTTTTATTTCTATTCTGTAAGATTTATTTTCAAAATGGTCTCTTCAGACCCTTTATTTTGATACTCTACTCTACTGGACTCCATAACATACAAACTAAAAATATGTTAGTTTCTTATCGATATGTTATTAAATAAAATACATCACTATTTGTAAATCGTCATTTGTATAGTAAACAAAACTTAAACAAATTTAGCAAATGAAGTTAGTTATCATAAACAAATTTAATGTACATTTGGGGGCTTTTATTCTATATATAAAACAAGGCTAGATAAACAAGAAAACTAATAGTATGATAAAGTTTTTTCTTATAATACGGCTACTAACCTGTGCATAGTCAAATGAGGTTGATTGGGGTTTTTCCTTGCCCCACACTGAATTATTTAACAAGTAGACATATTAAATATGCACCACTAGACACTCACAGCACAAAACAAATAAGTTGGGAGCGTTTTTATTGTTAAAAATCGCAATCCAAATCTAATGTTGTTGTTCGCTTGACACCTGATGTACTACATAACTATGCGGCCTAAAGATGGCGGCTGGCACGCGAGGTAGGTACCTTGTCAGAAATGTAGAAATGTTGCCAGGCAGAGAATAAACAAACAACATGACGTCTCTTTCTTCAAATGAGGAAACTCATTGATTAAAAAGAGACAAAGTGTGGTTTCATATTTCTATATCGATTTGATATATATTTGTATATGCAAATAAGCTATAGATCATTACTTCTGGTCCATATTATAGTAGGTCTGTGCTGTCAACTGTCAGTATCAGGCAGGTTGTGTTGTCAATCGAAAGCGAAAATCAATCGAATTTGTTTAATAATTATTTTGAAAGAGTTTATTAATTATTTTTTTCTAGGATTGCTTTTGCTTCTTGATCTTGATCTATCGTGTTACCTTTTACAATATTGCATCAATATTTGATGCTTTTAAGGATTAGTATCTAGAAAATAATTGTTACATTTTAAACAAAATGAAAGCTGCTCTAGTGTTTGATAGTGTTAATGATTTGGTGTTTGGAAAATGGGACGATGTTTTCATTGAGCGTATGAAGACGTTTAGTGTTCAGGTGTGTTCCAGTAACCTCTCTTAAATTTTTGATCACCTACCTATATTTTTCTTATATTCTTTCCCACTAAAATTTTCCATGTAGAACAGGTTTTTGCCACTTTTTGCTGTTTCAAAAGTATCGAGCTTATAAACAAGTTCCATGCTACTTTAAAATGGGAACCTCAGCCTACTCTATTTATGTACACCAAATTACTGATTAGTTATTTTTCAATTAAGTTGGAAGTCAATGAGTTAATAAGACATCCTCACTTCAGGCTAGTCTTCAATGGGATTCTTTGTAAATGTGCTTATAGTTCTTAAAAAAAAGTAGGTACAACATTGAAATATTTCAACTTAAACAAAGTCAAATACATAATTGTATCATACTTGAAAATCAATCTTATAATTTTTATTAATGCTGTGGCTTTTGTCACAAAGCTTATGGTGGCTGAAACTATAAATCTGACTACAATAATATCTTCCACAGGAGAATCAGAATGATGTTACAGAGAACAATACAGTGTCTCAACTTCTGGCCCCTATAATAACATCCCAGAGAGTGATGGCTGCACAGTTTGGCAACACATACTCATCCATGCAATGTAAAGACAAGACAACTATAGTATTTGATGAGGTAATTACTCATATATTTTTTATGACTGCTTCTTCCAGTAGCTGATCAGTAAGGGCCCTCAGTTTCCATGCTTGGGTAGGTAACACTATTATTGGTTTTTGAACATTTTTAGCTATAGCTATAGCATTTTTAGCTATAGCATGGGAGTCGAGAATTGTGCCAGATATTTGGCAATGGTAATAGGTTCATCCTCTATTACATAGAACATGTTGGTATTGCAGTGTATTTTGTACTTTCTGCCTATGCATTCAAGGATTAACAGGTGTGACATAGGGTTAAAGTATGTTTATATGACAATGATACTGTATTGTAATGATAATAGTATTGTATTCAACTAATCTGTCAATATTATCCTACAGTGGCTTGATCACGTATTTGTAATAATCAGTGAAGACAATGTTGATGATGCTCACCGAGAACTGTTAGATTTCAAAACATTTGTTCAACACATTTGCGGCCAAAATATTAATCTGTGAGTCTTAAATACTTTTGTAAATAATTATAATTAGTATATAATTACGTACTTATTTGTTTAGTAGTCATTATTTTAAAACCTATCAAACATGTATTACAACTTTCCCATGTAACATTACAGACTACATTCCTCAATATATCAAGATTGGCTCTCAGTTCTCTTGGAGAGCCGCACCAAAGGTGACACAATACCTGGTGCTAATGGTGTGATTGGAGAAAGTGGTGCCACCATGGCTGCTCTAAATGCCCTCAAAAGTGCTTCCAAAGACATCAAGCTACCATACCAACACAGCCATTTAATGTTGTTTGTAGGAGACAAGCTGCTAGCATTATATTCAAGGTAATAAAGCAGTAATAATTATGTTTTACTCACCATTACATAACTCAACTAATTTCAAGCCTTGCCAGGGCCCCATAGTCTTGAAGGCACAAGTGACTACTAAGTCACATAGGTTAATCTCGTCACACATCTTAATTAATGTGCCTGGAAAAAATCCTACCTTTTTTTTGTAATGTGTGTAAAAACATTTCTTTTATCATTTCCCGTTAATCTTTCAGTCGCGGAAGCGAAGACTTGTCACCGCCTGATTTAATTTTACTAAGCATTCAATGCATAGCTGCTCAAGAGTACTGGAAAGAGGTTGGCGATGAAGACTGTGATGAAAACGATCCTCAAATTGTCCGATTACCTTGTAAGTTGCGAAAAATGGAATATATTTAATGTATATACATATGAACATACATCTTTGCCTACAACATATACCTGTGACTAAAAGACGTGATATTTGATTATGTGCGAAGATTTGCCTAATCGCAAATTATTTGAATAATTTACGAATTAAAAGAATGTTGTTGTTGTTGTTAAAAGAATGAAAATATGTGATTTACAATTCCAGGGTTGTCAACGGAAAACAGTGCCGTCGTGAATCTATGCGCGGGACCGACAGGCAGCCCTTGTGCTCCACATTCCATACACCTCGCTGAAGTCGCACCCAGAATCACATTCGCTGTCGTTGTTGATATGGATTTGAGGTAATTGCTAATCACTTTAACCATGTAATTGTAGAAAGGGTGAGGGGACAAGTTTATTATCTTAATTCATCTGAATTGAAAGCTTTCTAATGTAAAAATTTCACTTATTACCGTTTTTGTTGTTTCAGGGAAGTTGGTGTTTCAGCTTATATGGCAAATCAAATTCTCTCTAATTTAAGAAGACTTTTGCTGCAAAGGAACTTGGAGCTGTTGCCTAACACTCTTGATTCGTTAGAAACAGCTTTAAAAAAGGTAAAATAGAGTATAATAATATGTACTTGTAATTAGTACTAGTTGAGTACCAATTGTAATGAATAAAAACCTTATTTATTCCTTCAGACAACAGACGCACTTCGAAAAAACAAAGCAAATGCCAATTTGTGTGCTCGTCTAACGAGTCGTATGCTGGAACTGCGCAAATCTTGTACTACTACGACTCCATTAACTCCTGAGACAACAGCCACGGCGATGCACACTGCACTTGAAGCAGTGATCGAACAACTGAAGCCAGACATACCAAGTTTAAAGATGGAACAACCATTGAAGAACTTAAGAGCAACATTATCTCCCTATGTGGAGTTCCTTTGTGTAAAAGCAAAGAGATACTTCAGCTTGGGATCATATCCTTTTCATAGAATTACCGTAACTTATTTTAATTTAATTGCGCTTTGGGTGTTTGGTACTAAAACTTGAACAAATTGAAAACAGAATGACCAATAGAGCAATATCGATCGAAAATCAAGTTTCAATGTTCTGAGACAAAACAATAACTTTTGAGGTAAGATGTCATTAACAAAAAAGCCAGGCTTGTAAAATAATTTGCTCAGTGTTTCGTACCTTGAACTCATATTTAATACAACATAGGTGCTTAGTGTAGATAAGGAACGTATGTAGGACATTTCAAGTGTTATTTCAGTTCATTTAAACTGATTACCTTGTTTGAGTAGGTACCTATGTTTTGTATCTACTTGAGACACATTCAAGGTGGAATGGGCACCGTAACCTAAGTCTTACCTGTTACCTATACTTTATGCCGCTTTTTATTATGTTTACAACAATTAACTCAAATAAAGTGATAAAGCAGTAAGGTCGAACTAACGTAACCTAACTAAGTATAATTCAGCACAATTATACACTTTAAGTTACGGTCCCCGTGCCATAATGTAACCCATTTAAGCTAATAATAATCATCATACCTATAAATTGTTTTGTGACAAAACTTTTTACCTCATTTAATAAAGGCTTCTTTAATATTAACTAACCCAGCCCAAAAAGGGGACCACATATTGGAGATATTGTAGCTATGTCACAAATCAATGTTTCATATTCGAATCGATTATTTCGCTTAATGTGAAGTGTCTGCAAGAGCACGGGCGAGTCAGATGCGAGTTGTTCCCTAACGCTGCACAAGTATGTGGAGGAGTTCCCCGGCCTCATTCACTTTATCTACGTGGACCGTACTGCTGGAAGATTCTTGGCTCCCGATATGGCTGATTGCGCTGACATGCTGGCACCAGAAACGGTAGGATTCAAATTATCAAGTGAAAAAAAATGTAGATAGATGATGGTATGCAATCGGCTTCGCCCATCGATTCGCAATTCTAGACGACGATCAAGTGCGTTCCTCTGGTAGGAGCGTCACACACGGCAAAACGCAACGCTGTCCTTATTTCACGCTGGTTATCGGCGAGGCCGTGGTATCAATGTCCGAGTTAAGAAATCTTAAACACAAAACCCTAGTGAGTGTAGAATAACGTGTATGTGTTGGTGCGCTAGGTGCGGCGCGCGGTGTCCCGCAGCCTGTGCGTGGTGCGCGAGGGGTACTGCGCGGGCACGTGGCGGCGCGGCGCGCTGCACGCCTGCGCGCTGCTGTGGTGGGAGCGCCGCGCCCAGCCCGTGCGCCCGCCCGCGCCGCCGCACCCCGCCGCCGTGCGCGCGCTGCCCCCGCCCGGGGACATACAGGGCTCCTTCTACAGGTACCTCATATTTATTACTTTGCAAGTTACTAAAGAATGGGTAAAGCGCAGTAACTTACTGCGGCCCCGGTCGTAGCAGGAGTTTAAACAGGGCTATATGACTAAAATTCTATCGGAAAAAAAATTAGAGTAACAAGCCTACACGGTAACGAAAGACGTTCCATTGTTGTACCTATTGAAATTAGATTACATTCACTGCTAATGTCGTACACTTTGTTGCAGGCAACTAACAGAGCTGGCGTTCCCGGGTGACTCCCGTGGCATTACAGTGAAGGAACTAATCTGCATCCACTTGGGCCTGTTACCGGCATCCACCGCGGTGCAACAGGCACGACGCCTCGCACACTCCGTGCACGAATTGGCTGGAGAGATGGGAGCGGGAGCGGCCGATCTGCTATAAATATTTTAAAGATATTTACGTTCTCTATAACTTTCCTTGTATACCGAATATATCTTGCCATTATATTGTAGAGTAAAATCATATATGCCAAATAATTTCTTAAGTATATTAGAAAAAGAAATAGTGTATGAGTTCCACATACCTGTAATTTGCAATTATTGCTTCTCTAGTGTTTTAATTGGAATTTATACTAATCTAAGGAATCAAAGTTGTCTGTCTTGAAGTATCAGTATGAAATTGACATTTACTAAGTTGTTTGCAGTGTTATACTTAGCATTTAAGTATACTTTGCTGTTATTTGTGTAGATTATCGCTAGTTTGTTAATAGGTACTTGGTAACACAGTGTGATGACAATATGATAAGGATTATCACAACATTTCCAGTTGTACTGACTTGTATTTAGTATACTCTATATACTTACTTATTTACTTGTTAGTACTATAATCTATTAGTAATAAGCTTCTCTTCTTTTTCTATTATATGTTGATTTACACTTTACAGAAGTGGAATCATTCACTCTGTAAAATTAATAAAAATATATGGAACATCTAGTTTGAATCTGGTTAACATCTAGTGCTGCTAAACATGTACATCCAAGTTAGTTGAAAGTCATTTTAAAAGTGTACTAAAAACAACTATAACATGACATTCCATAAAAACATTCCCATTTTACATCACAGATGTAATTTTATTTATTTATATTATATTATTTTAATATTTGTAATTTCTTGTGTGCAATTATAAAAGATGATTTATGTAAGTGATAAGGAATTTATTGAATTCTTTTCACTTTTTAAATAATTTGTTTAATATTTTACATAATTGTTTTAATCTTAATGTGCCATGTTTATATGATTGAAATTAAAGTATTTATTAGAAACTTGCGATAATAATTATTTTATCAGACAATTTTTTTAAAGTATTGATATAATATTAGCCTTAGAAGAAGATTAATTAATTGATTTACCAAAAGTCCTATTTTGCTTGACTACATAAAATGTATATTATATACACACATTTCAATGCTTAATAGTAAGTAGGAATGTTCTTTATTCAGCAAACCGTCAAGGATTACATAAAAAAATTAAATTTGAATAAACTAAATGGCTCAACTGCTTTATTTACATATTTGTATTTATGAAATCCTAACATTAAGTTTAAAACAGAACAATAAAAATAGAAAATATTTAAGTCAATAACCCGATGCTAAGTATTAACATTATTATCAGCCAGCATACTATAACTTAAGATAGAATTAAGTAAATGAGATAAAACAACAATAAGAAGTGAATACGGCAATAGATGCCTGTCTGCATTAAACATAAACAATGTGCATTGAAGAATCATAATGTATACAATAATCTTTACATAACATTCTGAGTATTATTAGTAACAAACAAGAGACAGGCCTGAGTATGATTTTATTTTACGTTCAAACTAATTTAGACGAAATTGCATTTGGTGCTCTGATTATTTGGTTCATTGGAGCCTATCAATCATTGCACTGAACGCATTCTAGTTTCGATTACTTTAAATGTAAAACAAAACTCGTACTAAGCCCTCAGAACAGTTACAAGATTCACTTATAAGGTAACTTATTCTACATTTATTTAAAAACTTAAGTTATAAAGGCACTTGTTAATATTCCGGTGAACTATCACCACAGTTTATTTCTTCATTTACTTTCACAGTCTTATTCACATGGTTGTCTTCAACATCAAAAATAATCAAATCATCACTGTGGTTTTGTTCTTTCTGCAAAAAATAAAAATTATATAACATCACGCCTTTTATCCCCGAAGGGGTAGGCAGAAGTGCACATTATGCCATTGTACAATATAACACCCAGTTTTCACTATTCTTGTTATGAGTCCCATATAATAGGGGTATTGGCATATACCGGGCACAATTGAAGACTACATGCTATTACTGAGAATAAAAAAAAATCCAATAGTACTTTGCGCGACCTGGGAAATGAACCCGAGACCCCTTGCCCGACGAACATTCAGCCAACGAGGCAGTAAAAAAATATATTAATTTTGATATGCTGTCTATTGTTAGGGTCAAATGTTTTCAAGTGTGAGTATTTTGATCCCTAAGTTTACACATCGCACCCCTAGATAAAGAGTAGCACAACTCAAAATATACATTTTTTCAGGAATGGAAAAAAACGTTTTACTTTATTTGTATTTGATATATTTAAAAAAATCTTATACATTCTTGTATATAATTTGATTAAGATATTTATTTGAATAATAGTTTGTCATTAAGTAGGAGCATCTCTTGTCAATTTTAATATTTTGTGTTAAGTTAGTAATCATGACAAAATCATTGCGTAATAATTTTACCAACTCCAAATATGTTGATATTACTGAATATTTTTGAATTAGTGCACTTTTAATCTGTTTAATTTAGATCTAATATCCATCAAACATAACTAAATTATGTGTTTTTTTTCAGTATAAAATAAAAAATAAAACAAAAGTATGTCTTCCAAAAATTAACGTTATTTATTTTTATGTAGCGTACAAAAAATCTATAGGATAAACCTAAACAAAATATTCAACAAAGGTAACATTTCTTATAAAAATATTTTTATAAAATAAAACACAGCTCTTCTTTAGCAAAACATGAACACTTATTACTTTTCAACTAGTATTATTCGTAAATCAGTACAACAAACGGAATTATACACTCTTTCATTCATTTAAAACTTACACATACTTACTTATTAGGCATGTATTGCCAAAAAATACTATAAAAAAAGGCATCTGAAACACTTAACTATAATCAGACTTTGTTTTTGAACTTACATGTCATAATAGGATTCGGTCGTGGGTAGTTGTAACGGAAAGTAAAACAACAAAAAGCTCAACGTTTATTAAATATTAAATAATAGTTAATTATTATAATAACAATATTTTTATGACTTACATAAACCAGTGCTAGTCGTTACTTGCCAGTGAGCGTTATTTCAGCATATTTACAATCAGCATTGACAGAGGAACTAAAGCAGCATGGATCCACTGAAGATAGCAACTCTGCCAGAAATGATGCAGTATTTCATGGACAGAATGACCAAATTCGAATCTGACCTACAGAAGGCACCGGCTACATCAGTAAGTGATCTGGCAGCGGACTTCGGCATCTTCAAGAACCTGATTTTGCAGACCGCCAAATGCCTTCAGCGAGAAATTGAAGTTGTGGCACTGGATGCAGATACACAGGAGATGCGAAGGCGACGAAAAATACTGCTGCTACATGGTGTGCCAGAGCAGACTAAGGAGGAGTTGGCGGAGGTGGTGACATCAATTGTACGGGGCAAACTGGGCATCGTTGATTTTGCTGCAACAGAGATTAAGCGGTGTCATAGAATGGGGCGTCAGCAGGACGCGGGCAAGCCTAGACCCATATTAGTCAAGCTGCAGGGGCAAAAGATGCATGATGCACTATGGCTTGCTAAAAAAAAACTGAAAGGTTCTGGCATTACGATGTCGGAATTTTTAACAAAAATCAGACATCGGACTTTTTTGGCGGCCCGTGCAAGATTTGGCGTAAACAGCTGCTGGACGAGACGAGGTGATGTATTCGTCTTGGGTCCCGATGGGACAAGGCATCGGGTGGTTACCTTAGGAGACCTGGGTGCTATAGCAGATCCCGAGGTGGTGCCTGTCAGGGCTCCGGCGGTAGCAAAGAAAACGGCGCGGCGTGCAGCAACAACAGCCAAAAAGTAGCATCATTGATGCCTCCCCGTCCGGGTAATAGTACTGTGCTTCCTTTGAAACTACTCATTGTTTAATTTCTTAATTCTCTCTTCCACTATCGCACTGTTAGTTCTACCTTTTTCTAATTAATATTTAGTTTCTTCAACTATGACGGTGATTTTAATTTTATCTATTTACAATATTTACAACGTATTCGCTCCTGAGTGACAGCAGTAAAGTCAAGTAACAGTCCACAAACGTCAAATTCACTTCACCTCTAATGTCATATGTCAAGTTGTAAAGAATAAATTCTCGATAGTGATATTTTTATTTCGAGTATTAGCCTTTTCAGCACTAGGGTGGTATTTCACCTACTTAAATATTTATATAAATATATTTTATTTGTTTTTTAATGTTATTTTTTGTACATGAAAAGGCATGGTTGCGGGTACATTGCCTGGGCTGCAATCAATTTATGTGTTGTTTTATGAATTTGCTGTCTTTGTTGCATTGTACATTTTTATGTTTTTTTTTTTTATATGTATTCCTTATTTTGTATTTTTTTTTTGTTTGTTATTTTTATTCCTTAATTCTTACTGACGCTCAGCTGGCGGGTGGATGACCTTTTTATTAGTTGTTTTGTTTCGATTATTATTTTCATTCTATTTATTTTATTATTTATTTATTTATTATAATTTATCGATCAGGTAGTGTAGCTATATGTCTAACATTTATGCTGACTCTGATAGTTTTTTGTCTACGGAATCTGATAATGATAGTTTTTCTAGCATACCCTCTCTCTCCGAATCTCTTGAGACTCACTTCTCTAGCGTACCCAAGTGTTTTAATGTAGTCCATATCAATGCGCAAAGTATTCCTGCTCACTTTCCAGACATGCTGGCCAGCTTCGACCGTAAAAATATCCATGCTATCCTTGTTTCGGAGTCATGGCTGAAACCATGTCTACCTTCCTCCTTATATTCTCTTCCTGGTTTCCAGCTTATAAGGAACGACCGCAGGGCTGGTGCTGGTGGAGGTGTGGCCATATACCTTCGTGCGAACATTGTGTTTTCAATCATTGGTGTGTCTTCACAGCCGCCTCCGGCACATGCCGGCGAACATCTGTTCCTGGAGGTTGATCTTCAGCACACGAAGATACTACTCGGTGTTTATTACTGTCCCTCTTCCCGCATAAATTTCTTCTCATCCTTCGAGCATATTTTAGAAAATCTTACTCCTAATTACAACCATTCTATTATAATGGGCGATTTTAACACGTGTCTTGCCAAGCAAGATACTCGAGCATCATCTTTTCGTTCCATAATCCAATCATGCAACCTAACTATCCTACCACTAGCTACAACTCATCATTTTCCAAATTCCACACCTTCTCTTCTTGATTTAATCCTTGTCTCTTCACCTACACATGTCGCTAAACATGGTCAATGTTTAGCAGACTCCTTCTCTTATCATGACCTAATATTCCTTTCATATAGAATTCGCCCTCCTAAAATTAAGCCTAAAATCCTTCTGCAGCGCAATTTTTGTGGTATAAACATTGATGTACTCCGTGAGGACGCTGGTGGCATCGACTGGACTGATCTAATCGAGGCGGAGAGTGTTGATGCCAAGGTTGATGTTTTCACTGGGAAAATTATTGAATTGTACGACAAACATGCTCCCATGCGCCCTGTAAAGATCAAGCATCTCCCAGCTCCTTGGTTGACAGACGACATCAGAAAGATGATCAATAAGAAAGCTGCAGCAAAAGCCAGATTTAAATGTCAGCCCAGTGCAGAGAATCGAGCGAAATATGTGGGCGTTCGCAATCACTGTAGTAGGATGTGTAGGGAGGCGCAACGCCACTACTTTCATAAATCCGTCAGTGATGAGGACCCAGCGAAGATTTGGAAATTTCTGAAGTCAATGGGAGTTGGTAAAAATCATGACGAACCTTTTCCAAATAATTTAAATATTGAGTCGCTAAACCAGCATTTCTCATGTTCTTCTTCCTTTAACTCTACTGTTAAAGGGAACACACTAAAACATCTTTCTTCTTTACCAACCCCTGAAAACTCTCCTTTCGTATTTAGTCGTTTTACCGTCTGTGATGTTAGGAAGAGTGTAGAATCAATTACATCTAATGCTGTAGGTGCGGATAACATTAGCCGTAAAATGGTGCTACCTATACTCGACGAGATTCTCCCGGTCATCACCCACATCCTAAATTATTCCATTTCCTCCGCAGTTTTTCCATCACAGTGGAAAGATGCACAGATTACGCCACTGCCCAAAAAACCTAATCCCAAATGCTACTCAGAGTACCGTCCTATCTCCATCCTACCATTCCTCTCAAAGGTCCTAGAACGTCTTGTACATAACCAGTTAAACTCCTACCTTCTCCGTCATCAACTCCTAAATCCATTCCAATCCGGTTTTCGTCGAGGCCATAGCACTACAACAGCACTTGTACATATTGCTGATGACATAAGACTCGGCATGGAGAATGGAAATCTGACAGTGCTCTCCCTACTTGATTTCAGTAACGCATTCAACACTGTCGATTTCGATGTCCTTCTCGGTATTCTGCGCTCCCTTAACATATCTCCAGCGGTAAACGATTGGCTTCAGAGTTACCTGTGTGGCCGTCGACAGCGTGTCCGAGTGGACACAAATTTCTCGACTTGGCGTAGTACTGCTGCTGGCGTGCCGCAGGGTGGCGTCTTATCTCCTCTTCTTTTCGCAACTTTTATTAATTCCATCTCTGACCAACTTCTATCTTCCTACCACCTTTATGCAGATGATTTGCAGATTTACGCGCAGGCACCGCTCGAAGAACTCTTGGAAGCAGTCAAAATGATAAATGCCGACCTGACTTCAATATCCAACTGGAGCTCGACTTACGGGTTAAAAGTGAATCCAGCAAAGACTCAGCTCATTGTTATCGGCAGCCCCAGACAGATAGCTAGAATTAACTGGACGCATATTCCACCGGTCACGTTTGATGGAACTACAATCCCGTACAGTAAATTTGTCAAAAATCTGGGTATTCTCTTTGACAGCACTTTGTCCTGGGCTCCACAGATTCAAGAACTGAGTCGCAAAATCTTTGCATCGGCGGCGTCCTTAAGAAGACTTCGCAATTTTTTACCAATCGCCACTAAAACTGCGCTTGCTCAATCTCTCCTTCTTCCCATCTTGGACTACGCTGATGCCTGCTACCTTGATCTAACAGAGGCACAACTGGACAAACTTGAGCGTCTCCAAAATTTCTGTATAAGATTCATATTTGGCTTGCGCAAATATGACCATGTCTCGGATTTCCGTAACAGGCTCAAGTGGCTTCCTATCCGTCTTCGCCGGAATACGCATATCCTGTCACTTCTTTACAGTATTCTGTACAATCCTGCTACGCCCTCTTATCTCAAAGAACGTTTTAAGTTCCTTCATGACGCACATTCAAGACACTTGAGGTCTACTGCGAATTTGAGATTGGAGATGCCAACACATACGACTGCCTTTTATGACAAATCCTTTGTTGTAGGAGCCATTCGACTGTGGAACGCACTTCCATTATCAATAAGACGGGCGCAATCTTTGGATTCGTTTAAAAGACAAGTAAAAGATCATTATCTAACACAGATTCAATAGAGTAACTGCTACCGCATATCCGTATGTATGTATGTATGTATCTGATTTTGTGTATGTATGTGTATGTATATATATATGTATATATGAGTATGTAGGCATGTATGTATGTGTGTACATATTGTATGTATGTATCTAAACTGTTCTGTCATATCCATTGTATTTAATTCAACACTATGAACTACCCACATGGTATCTGCTCTCACGGTTATTTATCCATCCTAAGGTTGCCTGGAAGAGATTGCTGTAAGCGATAAGGCCGCCCATTGTGCAACATGCCAAAACTATTTTTTTTTACCTACCTACTATTTTCTTGTTCGTGTCTTTTGTAAGTGGTGTACAATAAAGTGTTTATTATTATTATTATTATTAATATAATCATCAATATCGAGATCAAAAAGTAAATAGTGATTTAATCACCAAACGACTTACTTAAAACTACCTTATTTTAAGACTTTAATTAGGAACATTATAATTATATAACTATTAGGTACTTTCTTTTTAACCATCAATATCAAAATACGTGAGAAGAAGTTAGAATTAAAGAAGAATTACTGTACTCATACCTACTGAATAATTATTCTAAAGCTAATGCATTTTTGAAATAAGAATCTACGTAAATCTGGGGGATAATTTTCTTATTAATCAATTCCATAATATCGCGCTTTTTATTCGCACCTAACGGTATTTTTTGCAAATACGCTGGTTTCAAACTAGGAGAGAATTGGTGATCTTGAGCTCGTCTGTGATTTCTTACAAATGCTTTCTTAAAAACCGTCTCTTCATAAGACGTTTTATAAAAGAATGTCATCTGCTGATGCTTTTCAACGCGGAGTTGTTTGATGTCGTGCCATTTAATTTGTCTCATTTGTCGGTACACGGAGGTTTGACCGTTCTTTCAAGGACTCTCTTTTTGGTGGAACTTACATAAGCCTTTCCAGTATTTCGCAGAGCTTTCTTAACATTTAAGGCCCAAGCTGTAGGATTTCGTAGTCTTTTCCTGCATCTTCGAAGGTCACTAGTTGCAGCAAGTTGATTAGCATTTGGTTGAGAGGTGGAAGCTTCAACATTGTTGTGTGAAACATTGGCAGTATTCAGCTCGGCAGATGGCACAGAATTATTTCCTATTTCTGAGTTACTGCTTGAAGAGCTGCTGGAGCTATCCGAAGATGAGCTAAAACTTGAAATAGAACTAGAGGATCGAGATGTTTTTCTTGAATTGGTGACAGTTTGGCGGCGCGTTCCCTCTTTGGTAGGTAAATTGAAATGCGGATCCGCATCCGAGTCATCGAAATCGCTACCATCGCTGTTAACCGGTGAAATATAGTACGATGGTCTCACCTGGGGGTAAGTCGACGGTAATTGTATCGGTAATGGACTTTTTTCTAACTCCACAGTTTTTGAGATTTCGTTCATCCCTTTGGTGCTCGTTGAAGGCGTTGTTAAGTTCTGATCAGGCTCCAACTCCATGCCACTGTTCTCAGGTTCATGTAAATTAGCCACCATCGCTTTTTGTAGTAATAGAAGACCACGACCTTTCATCATCTGTACAAAAAAAACAACAATTTGATTTAAATCACGAATACTATACTAACTCCAAAAAAATGCTGTAAACAGAAGTATACGTCATATAAATTTATTTTGCTACTTTTCTTTAAAAAATACAACATCAACACGAAATATTTATGAATCAAAATAAACGTTAGCTTTGTTCTGTTAAGAATAAGAGTGATTTTAAATTTAACCAGCAATACACAACCAACTCAAATATTGTAAAATTATTTCAACAACAATAAACTATTTTCAATTAATAATATAAAAATACTTACATTGGTAGGTTAATACTCGGGTAAGTAGAAATAATCAGAAGAACTCCCAAAAAAATGGCACGAGTTTAATTCAAGACCAGATTAACTAAAAATAATTTACGAAATGTGAGCGTAGTTAATCACGAATACTAAACCAACTCGAAATAATCCTGTCTTTGTGCGTATTGACAGCACCTATCCCGTCGGCCGACATGTCGCAACTGGTGATGTGTTACTGTTGTTGGCGGGAGGAGGTGCGCGGGCAATTCACTAAAACTAACTTAAGGGGCCATCAAAGTTTTACTAATAGAGATTTTTGTACAGGTGTCTTTGGAGTTTATGCAGTTTACAACGTAGATTCGTATACTAGTAATAACACGATTTTGGATTATTTCGATTTGTGCTACTCTTTATCTAGGTGTGCGACATTATTTCCAGCTACAAACTATCAGTGCATAGTACGTTATATTAGATTTTAAATAATGATGTTTTAAATACTTACGCTTGTAGATGCAGTTTCAGTTTTGTTTTTTAAAGCAGCAGCGTAATTAAGCCCTTGTTTAGATGAGCTGGCTTGTAGTAATGAAGGACTTAAACCAGTAACATTCTCAATTAACTGCACTGAATCTTCAGAGTCCATATTATTGGAGTTTCTGGGAACATTTTTTGCATTTAATATGTCTACTTTTAAAGGAATTTTCAATGCTTCTAAACAAGCTTTAGCCATTTCAGCCTCCCTGTTCATAGCTTTTTCCTCCATGTACTTGTTGTATGTTGATTGTAATTCAAATGATTGTTTATCTGATAAAATAGTAGCCATTTGCTTAATTTCTGCTTCAAGTTCTCTGATAGTACATTCGTTTTTTGCAGCAATTTTAGCTTCTTTTACCAGTTTCGCATCCACAGCTTCTTGAATAGTTAATATTGCATCACTTGTATTGTTGACCTGTACTTTACTATCCTTTACAATCTTACTAAAAATACTGTGTGGAGGTGACTTATGTGCTTTCTTGTATCCTGTGTATTTTTCACCTAAATTCGCAGTTACATCTTCAATGTATTCATACATATCAAAACAATTAATTTTCCCAAATCTGTACATGAAAGTGTGTGTAGATCCAGAAGACGATGCCTTGTTTGATATATTACATGAGACAAAATTTTTCTTTCCATGATGTTTTTCAAAGTATTTTTGAAGTCCTTTTGATATTAATTTATCTCTAAAAGTAGGTTTGATGTTTGCATTTTTCCTATATTTGTACCAACCAACAATTTCACTGGCAGTGCTAGCTAACATATCAGAGAGGATGTCTTCCTTTATTCTGCCTGTAGGCAAATAAAACAGAGATACAGAAGGTAGAGGGAGTACCGTTCTTATATTAATTTGAGTGTCTAGGCGGGTGTTATCACTCTGGGTGTCAGAAATATGGTTGGTTATTTCGGAAGTCACATCACCAATTAGGAAACCCTCCTGAAAGTAAACGCATAAGTTTAAATTACAGAAACATAAGATGATATTGTAAATTATCTTAAAATTCATTATAGGTAGGTACCTGACTATTGCCCGAGTTAACACACTCATAAAATAGAAATGACAGAGCGGTTCCACTCAATAACACCTTTTCGGTATACGCCATTTCTACATTTATAGTAGGAGCAGAAACCAGATCTCAGTATTAGGATGCACGCAAAGTTACATGCAAATATTAACTTTATTATTTACAAAAATCGTCACAAGTCAACATTTTTACTTGAATATTACAATGTAAAATGTCAAATTATTTTATTAGTTGTCAAATGTCAAATTCAACCAACTTTCGGTAATCTGTGCTACACAAATACCACAGGTTAAAGCAAATCTCTGTTTTATTTATATTTCTCGAAATCATACATATATTTGAGAAAATATGAACCCTTTTGCTTAGATTAAATAAACAATGCTGACTTGAGTCATTGAGAATGAGATAATCAACGCCTTCATCATCATCATCATCGTATCAACCATAGGACGTCCACTGCTAATTACAGGCCCTCTTTAAATGGCTTCCAGCTGTTAGAAACAACCTGCATCCATCCATCAACAGCCTACTTACATTGAAACCAAGAGTGATATTTTAATGTAGGTATATACAATATCAGTTCACTTCTGCTTAAAATATTGATTCATAAGACATAAGAGCTCTGATAGTAGCCAGTTAGGCCAGCCCTGTATAATACAGACAGTACTTTGAAAGAAGCTATTTTGATCTTAATTTATAACATAACATCACGCCTTTTATCCCCGAAGGGATAGGCAGAGGTGCACATTATACCTCTGTACAATGTAACACCCACTTTTCACTATTTATGTTATGAGTCCCATGTAATAGGGGGTGAGCCTATTGCCATATACCGGGCACAATTCTACTCCGTGCTACTACTGAGAATATTTAAAAACCCAGTAATACTTTGCCCGATCCGAGAATCGAACCCGAGACCCTTGCCCGGCTGTCGCACTTACGACCACTCGGCCAACGAGGCAGTCTTAATTTTCTTAATTTATTTATATGCATAAAGTGCTAAAAACATTGACACTGCTCCATTTCTGCACAAATTCTTAGCCTTTATTTTCATTAAAGTCATGGAGTATTAGTATATGAGTGTGAGTAACTTCCTTGCCGGAGTCTGTGTTTCCTGAAAAATTTAACTTGGGTGTCTTCAAGTCCTGAGTGAACAGGTTGCTCAGTTGCTCATAACTATTGTCAGGATGTTGAAAAAAAGACGGGCGTAATGTCACATAAAAATGATTGAAGCACCCAAATGTTAGTGTGTACAATTGTACATGTGTAAATGTACTTACACACCGTAATGTATGAAGTGTAATGACGGGCCATATCACGTGACAGATGTCCTTCTTGTCAATGTGTGTTTTCTATGTGTAAGTCAATAGTAGCCAGGTGCAACAGTGCCCACAGTCGTTATTACAAGAGACTATGTCCGCCTTTTTATCAACGTCCTTGCATAGGTAGTCGTGCTCCATCGTAGCTTATCACTTCACCAGTCCACTAGGCTAGGTAGCCAAACAACGCCAAGTCGCCAATTCATTTACAATAAAAAAAGTTAAGTTATAAAGCGTTATATTTCACGCAAAAATCCACATTGTTTTGACGTTTCACAATATTTGGTGTTCCTTCCTTTTCAGATGACACTTTCTTGACACTCTTGACAGTTTGTCAAGATCGTTTTCGTTATATAAACTGTTTCGGGTACAGTACATAATTTATTTATTTATGTAAGAAGAGGCAGGTACTGAAACTGAAATGTAATGCACCAACCGATACGCGGATACGATTCAATTTTATGTTACAAAGCATCGGAATTGCACCATTTGATGAGCGATTTTGGTTATTATTAAATGAAGTCAATTTTTATTTTGTATGAAGAAAAAAGTGTACCTACTATGAAAATTTTCTAATTGGATTGGATTTTATTGAGTACCTAGTTTATAATTACTAAGTTTGGTGGCTTGTGAGTAGTTCAAAGAAGTTTATTTATATTTCCGTGCTAAAATTAGTGTTTCGCACTATAGATTTATTTATTAGTTGCGAGAACTGATTCTGTGCCGTTTTATGATTAGTGGCTAATGTTTCAGTTTCTGTTAAATTATTTTCGTGAGGTGGTTAGTGGTTATCTAATACATACTTTATTTTTTAATGGTTTATTAAAATTATGTCTTGGCTTACGTGCAAATTGATGGCGTGTAAGTAATTTTATTCAATGCGGTAATTTATTGTTTGTTTTTTTGTCAAATAAGTGATTAACTCTCATCAATAACAAGTTCGAATTGTGACCTATTGAAACAACAAAAACCGGGAGTGATATACCCATAATCAACTGCTAAATAACACATGTGTGTCCATGACAATACATTTGTAAAGTTATTAAGTATGACTATATATTTCATGTAATAAATATATTGATTAAAAGATGGGTTGTTAATGATGGTGGATAGTGAAAGGTGGTAAAAATACACAAATTAGTTGAAAAAGTGCTATTTTAGACTTGCAGTAGCTGTTTACTAGAAATATGCAAACAGCCACACAATTCATTTTTGCTACATACAGTGTTATTGCATGCATATTAAACATAACTAGTTAAAGTTTAATTTAGAGTGTGTGACAGTTTTTTTCCTTTTGGATTCACAAACAACTAACTACCGCACAATAAAATAAAATAAATTATTACCTTGAATATTGCATATTACTTAGCTTATTAAAAATTAATACAATGTGTGTAAATTAATACAAATGTATTTTTAACCAAGTATTTGTTTTTTAGGATAAGATAGGTGGAAATCTAATCCTGCATGAACGGGCACAAGCTACTGGATATTACTTTAAGACATCAAACCCTAAGATACTTCTGTTTAAGTTTCAATTTATCAAATAACAACTTTAAACACCACAATAGAAATATGGAGAGTATACAAGTATACAAGAAATGTGAAGTTATCCCTGAAAATCAGAAGCTCCCTAAGAAATACTATCGCCGTGCTGAACACAGGTAAGAATATTTTTCTATTACTTGTGTATTATGTTTACATGATTATATCTAGAAAGGTACAATAACATTATGTATTGTAAATTGTATACTTATTCATCAAAAATATTAATTTATTTATCATGAGTCATGACAGAAAAAAGCGACTAAGCCATATTGAACTTTATGAGATGAAACATATTTAATAAACAGATTTACTACTGATCAATTAAATTATTATAATTGTTCATCAAGCATTTCAATCATGTTAGTTAACTGGCTCATATAATTATGTGAGTGGCTGTATTTATTGATTATTTCCAAGTTATCCTACCACATTAATAAATATCAGTCTATTTCTACTTTTTAATTACATAATGAAAAATATAATGTGCAGTTGTGAAAATGAATGAATAATAGTAATACCTTCTTTATAATTCAATTAAATATTGATTTACCATGAAGTAAATTACTTGACGACATTATTTACAATACAACCTTCAGTATCGGCAATTAATAATCATGAATTCAAGGCGTAATAATGACGACGAACTACCTAACAATTTGTTAGACTTGTTTCTATTGTTTCATTTTCCAACAGGTGTGATAAAGTCTCCTTATCTGTAGGTTGAACCAGAGATCACGTCTTTGTATCGTTCTATTTATATTATATGCGATAGGTATACCTACATAATTATGTACATAGTATATAGATACCTAGCAAATGTATTTTGTATTGGGTAGGCGTAGGTAGGTACGTACATACATAAATCGTAAGGTATATACGCGATTATAGTAAATACGAAGGAAGCATGTCGACAACAATTGTTCTCAATATACGGTTATTTATTTCTTTTATAATTTAATTATTGCAAGGTTTTTACAAACACACAGTATTCTAACTTAATATTTACATCACTTGTTGGCCCGGTCAAGAGTTATCATCTCGCGAGGTTATCTTTATCGTCTACTTGTTTTCAGTGTTATTCTGGTGACGCCAGTTGTATTTTAGCGTCGGAACTAGATTGACTTATCTATCTTCGTATTACATTACAATAAAAAAGTAAAATGCCAGACGCGTTCGAAAGTGCGTATCCTCTCTCACCACCTCTGAACCCGCAAGAATTGCGCGCACGCGCCAATTCTTCCTCAAAGAAAAAAAAGCCAGTGGTTACTTTCCTTGGCGATGAGGCTGTTGAGATACCTGACAAATCAGAGGTCGGTGTAGACAAGCCCTTGGCACGAGGTGATGTTGAACTCGATAGTATCGCAGTATCATTTAACACAATGCATACAGCTTTACTCGATAAAAGAGTGCTTGAGCACAGGTATGTATCAATTATTTTACAAAGGCAACGTTAAAGGTAATAATCCCAAACGCATTTTACGGGCTTGCTATGCAGTGATCTACCGACTGCAGTTTTTGGCCAATTTAGCAGTTTTAATAACTCCTTAGTGTTATTTTTTGTTTGTTTTGAACCAATCAATTTATTTGATCCAGTGCTAATCCCTTATATAAAGACATTTTACCAAATGTCTTTAACACAGCAGAATATATTTTTTATTACTTATATTTTCCTATGGCGTTTTTTTGTTTCACTAGGTCCGAATAGCTGCTATGTATGTATCAAAAATAATTAAGAACGTAATTTTTATGAACTATCTGTCGCATAAGATTATAGCACAGAAATATTAATTAGGTATATCTGTGGTTTATAGGATACTTAAGTATATGAAGGCGGTGAAACAACTTAAGTCGTATTTGCTTCGGTTAAAACCCGTTTAAAAATAGCAGTTAGGTACTTCAATAAAAAATGGATGAACTAAGAATAAACAGTTCAAATCCGACTACCACCCACAACTCTACAATAAATTAAAGCTATAAACTAGACTGTATATTTTTTTGTGAGGAATAAAGTACATAATACCATAACTAAATGGTAATTGCAATATACTATGAGCATGACCGCGGCAGCAAACATCCTCGGAACATAATCTTCAACTTCTCTGTTTTTAGAAAAAAATCTATCAATTTTATTATTTCGTTTTATTGAAGAGAATTTATTTGTCAATATTTTGGTAACTCAAACAATATTTCCATTCTGTAGTTTTCTGTCATATTCATATTTACATTACCAAAAATCTGTTTTTACCGCCTAATCAACTGAACCGACTTTGTCTAAAATTGTATGAAGATACGAAAGACACAAGCTACCTTTTATTCGAACAACAAAATGCCTCAAAGGAATGAAAAACTCGGCTTACATTTTAGCAATGTTTATCTGTGTATCCAATCGGAATCCTGTGACTCTATTCTAATCCATTGGATTAAAATCATGGGATATTAAATATTCATAATAAAGAACTCTAAACGAAACTAACAGGCCCAAACTAGACGATCTTATAATTTGCTATTTACGAGTTTCAATGGTACTCTTTCAACTTTCCGCGCGAGTCAACCGTGATTTCACTGAGAGAGCCAATTATGTATCAACTCGACCGGAGAGATACCACAGCATCACATAAAATTGGCGTGAAATCCGCTAGAGATTTGTTTCCCTGTGTAACGAACGACTCAGGGTACCATATATGTCAGTGTCATCACCATCACTCTTCTGATGTAAACGGTTGTCCATGAGCGGCATTGATCTCACATCAGGTGATCCATCTGCTCGTTTACTCAGTGTTGGAGTCAATCCTCACTAAGCTCCATCATCAGAATACTTTATCAGCTCCCGGGTACACGTATCCATCTTGACTTAAACGAAATTTGGAAAAAATACCCAAACCACTGCAAATTACTTATCATGTCATCAGATTTTTAACTAAACTTTACGAGAGAGTCTACGAGGTATGTTTTATGAAATAGCTATCCATTCAAAAATTCTAGATATAAAAATGACTACGTATTCCGTCCCAATCACTTACTTTATATTTAAGCATTTTTTTGAGTAGCAGTTAGGTATAATATATAGTTAATTCACGATAAACTGTTAGATCGTATAGTTCGTATGTTGTGACTGAACTTACTGACTACTGAAGTTGGCGAATCAGCTGTTAGCAGTGGCTGCGGGGGAAGTGATTGTACTGTGGGGCCTTAAATGTATAGCCGACCGTCGACTCCGATAGAGCGTCAGTGTACGCGACGCCCTCGCCGATCCATATCGCACGCATATAAACTGTAATTAATTGATACTATTCGGTTATCGCCGCGATTTTTGGTACGTGACGTTTACCTGCTGTGTATGGTGTGTTGTCAACTCGAAGATTCAATGTCAAACTGCTTTCAGTGATCTTTTACATCTGTTGTAAGCTTGTCGGCTGTCGGCAGTGTTTTCCGTTCTATTTATGATATAATAAAATACCATTCACATGAAACATTTATTCTGACAGTAACAAGGTTGTTATTTTATCGCGTAGGTGGCTAGTCACTCTTAATGCGGTGCGTTTAACACTAATTCGGAATTTCTATTTGTTGTGTAAACTACTTTATCCAGTTTGACTTGTTTGTTGACCGTCCCAGATATCTGTGTTAGTAAAATGGAAAGTGTACTAGCAACATGTTTTGGAATAACTAACATCGATGATATAACTTTTGAGTTAGTGCCATGTCATAAATATATGGCCTGCTCGCAATCTATACGATTAAATTGTTAATATGTTATTGTTTAATATTTGTATATCTTTTCCTCGTGTTTCCCAAACGAGGAAATGCTGTCTACGCAGATACCTAAGTACATACTGGTTCCTGGAATCATATTGATTCGTTTCCTGGCAGCCTCTCTCCCATGCGCCCTGATCTGCTCTGAACCCCATCTCCGACACTTAACAAACTTCTAAAGAGGAAGCATAGTAATAATTTACTTATCGCATGTACAAACATGATTAAAGTTAAATAAATATCGAATGGTGACGATTTACCCAAATGCGATAATATTGTTGTTTCCCAAAAGAAATTGTGTGACCAGTTAATGTTTATTATACATTTACATTACTCATACATATTTAACATTACTCACATATTGATAGGAAGTGAGTTTACTTTCTTATCGTTTAAGTACTTAAAATTTACTTAGAATGTAAACATTATCAATTAACATTGCTAGTTAGTACAGTACCTACATTTATTTAGAAGTATACATGCATGTTGGAGAAAAATCTAAAACGCATGTTGTATATTTCGTTTCTGTTGTTGAACTACAAATTTAATTTGAAGTTCCAAGTTCCTACTTTGAATTTAAACGTTTAGTTTATACTACTTACACAATTTCAACGAATGTCTATTTATTGTGCAGATTCACTTATCGTGTAGATTCATCGAATCCACATGAGAAACTTCTAAACCGTCTATGTTTTCGTACTTGCTGACTAAAATATGTCAAGATTCGTCGTCACTGTGTATTAGCTCTGTCTAAAAGCATATGTTGTTTATATTTGCTATGTTATTGAACTTCGCAACGTCAACATTTTTTTCATATTGAAAACATATTACTGGTTGTCCATAAAATAAACAGCCTTTTGTGTACTAGATCGTTCGACGGCTTCACCCGCGTTACCCGGATAAGTCTGTGTCTATATCTGTATCAAGTTTTATCAAAATTCATTCAGTAGTTTTTGCGTGAAAGAGTAACATGTGACATATCCATGCAAACTCAGAAACTTTCGCATTCATAGGAAAAACATATTAGGAGAATAATATTATATTAATAGAATATGGCAACAGATAAGATATTTTAATCATTACTAAAGTTCTGAAATAAGGGATTCAAAAATTATTATTCAAATATTCTGACAAGATTTGTTTCTGCGAGTCATGTTTGCTGTAGATACAAAGTTCTGTTTGGCAATGCTAACATGGTTTAGTATGTGTATGTGTATATGGTCAGAAATAGACATGTAAAAACGTTTCAATTAGAATTGAGAGTTTCCTGAGTAGACTCTACACAGTATCAAGCGAACAACTGTTTACGTTAGAATTAAATAATTTGATATTGTCTTTATAAAGTAGGGCATTGGCACAAAGGACCGTATAGCACTTTCTTTCACAGTCGTGCTATGAATGAATCATTAGACATATGTACATAGTTGTACGATAATGATGCACACAACATAACTATTGTTTACGAACTCACAAATGTCTCATAAACAATAGATGCGCCGTTGCAGTGAGTGAGCTACTTAAGTCATATAAAATCTAGCACTAGCTCATGTTGTTGTGAGGACCGGTCTTTTTAACCTTGTTACTGTCAAGGATATCCACTCAAATGCTTCCTGCGTTTCACTAAAACGATTGCAGTGAATCATGAGAGACGTGTGAACGCAATTATTGTGTAGTCACTGCTGACTGAATATAAACATTTCGCTGGAATTAAAATACTTTGTAATAGTTTATGTGTATAGTGTACGATTATATAGACGAAGTGTTGTTTATGTTTTATGTGAATAGTGTTATAAATAAAAATTGGAGTGTTTTACAATGAACAAACAGCGAACCATGGCTAATGGATCGAAGGCTCGATCCAAAGCCCAGCCCATATCCAATGGTTCCTCTTATGGTACAGGGGACAGATATACGGCAGCACCAAATGAGTGAGTTCATACATACTAATATTAAAGTTCTATTTACTTGGAAAACAACGGATAAAGCGTATTGTTCTCATTCACGGAATAAAATTCGCGGACAATGTGAGACACCAAGATTAGTAAAATATATTATTCAGTATAGGTATCATTTTTTAAAAGTATAATAAAGTCTTATTTATACATAGTATTCCTTTGTGTTTAAACACGTAAGCTTGTGACGTAGTGTAGCGTCACCGTTGACTTCATTGTTTGTACACTTTGGAATGTGTTATTGTTTTAAACGAATCAATAAATTCCTTGTTGCTTTTCGACAATTTTGTCCTAAATTTACACATTGTATGTATACATTTAAATATAATTTAATACAATGCTGGTACTTGGTTAATACACGGGTTTTCTGGATAACACATCGGAAAGTAACAGCGCCTTCTTTTATATGCCGGATATACGCGCCAATTACACAACAGAACAGACCTATCGCTTGTGTAGACATCGGCTGCTTAATTTCTAATTCACAGCCACAAGTTCCCTCTTTTCGAAAGTATTTTCAGTTAGTATTAAATAAGTAAATCAAATAGACAAAATCTTGATAAGTCTGCAATTATAGAAACGAGCCTGCTTGTCAACAGTCTTGATTTAATCTTGAAACTTGCTTGATAGTGTCCACCATAAGATAAATTGTCCAGTATTAATAATCTAATCCATTATTCACAAGTGTTCAAATACCTTACATATTCAATGAGAGAAAGGGCGCTTTAGCAATAGAAAAGTCAAGGCGAACTATCTGTTTAAAACAAGAATGTTGTGTCGTGGGTTGATCAATAATGATAGATTTATAGACACTAAAATTAATAACTAAGAACGACTTAGTATTTGTGACTATACTTTTCTCTACTACTCTTCACTACTGTACTTTTCAAGTTTCGCAATAGGTTTCAGTGACCTTCTTAATGTTGTTTATGTGCTTGCAAAGCTGTGAGCACCTAAATCAACACATTCTTATAAAATTTTACAGTACTAACAAAAATAGTAAAACAACTGAATGTGTGAATTTTTCATGATTTCCCTTCAACATGACTGGAATTTTCGTAATGTAACCAAAACAAGTGATAAAATATTGTACCTACGTACGTACGTAGCGTAGATGCCAACCCACATCTAAGAATAACATTTAACTGCGAACTTTGTTTTGCTCTAATTATGGACTTAGCAACGATTTACCGGTTCTTTTACTTTGAGGAAAATGACACGATCAATATACAAGTACCACGGTTAGCTGCCATATGTCATGTAGTTTATGTACCTAGATATCTATATACCTAGGTATAGGAATATGTCTGGACTCTGGAATTATCAAACGTATTAGTGTCGATGTTGGCATTTCGCTGAAATTCCAGTCTGTGAGTGCGTGCTTCGTGTAGGCGTGCAAGTCGCATATTTAAAACACGTTGCATTATGATGATGATTAAAATGGACATCGAACTGGAGCCAACAGTGTTCGCTCTGGATTATCGCCTGACTTGCATTAAGATCTTCACCTTGTACGACATGTTCCAAAATTAGCTAAATACTGTTCTGACTGCACGGTTGGTGCAGTGGCTGGGCAGCCGGCTGCCGTGCAACGTGTCGCGGGTTCGATTCCCGCACGGGACAACATTTTGTGTGATCCACAAATTGTTGTTTCGGGTCTGGGTGTTATTGTGTATGTGAACTTGTATGTTTGTAAACGCACCCACGACACAGGAGAAAATCCTAGTGTGGGGCAACGTTTTTTTTTAAAAAAAGAAAAAAAAAAAAAATTGAATTAATGTTGGTATCAGTACCTACATTAATTTGTCAATTTCATTTATTTATAACAAACACGAAAATAAAATCTGTATAACTTAAATAAGACAAAGTTGGTGAGTTTGATCGCCTTTGTCTCTCATACAATATTTCGAAATATTTCGTTGCATTTGAGTGTACAGTTATAGTCATAGAGTAAAGACTATGTATCAGCTGACACCCTTAAAGCGGAACATGTGGGTGGGACTGCGACTCTGAGGCAGTACTAACATTATTATTAGATTTTTCTCTTGAATGAAATACTGAAGTATACACAAGCACCTATACCTAATGAAATATACACAATTTACCCAACAGTAACGAAGGACTTTTACCATGGCATTTTATGTGTATTTAACACATAAAATGCCGTGGCATTTCACAAATAGTAATATGGTTTATTTCTCTGCACTTCCCTATCTTTGACTATCAGAAAAGAAGGCATTAAGTCCGCCATTCACTGTAATTTAGAAGTAAATAACATAGTTGGTGATTATATTAATTTTAAGTGAATGTTAAAGCTTCTATGTATTCGGATACAACGTATAATTGTTCATTTTAACCGCCCTTGTATTTCAGTTTACAGTCACGTCTGTTTTATTCTGAAGTAGAGCATTCTGTAAGAGTTTTACTTGACACGTTACTTTCATCTTAATCCGGAGTGATAGAAGTAATCTCTTTGATGAGATCTCAATGTTCTATTGATAATGGCTTAAGTTTTAGGCTTTAAGTCATTCAATGGAAATTTAGCTGTCACGCATAGGCATATTTCGTTTCTTATCTTGTAGCACGTCTTAGGACTGACGTAATTCTTATCTACGTGAGTACTTGAGAAACAATGGAACGGATGTGCGGGTGGCGTGTTAGTTAGCATTAGTTAGCAGACTATCCGTAATTACAAAAAATCTTCTGAATTTCATAGAAATTATTTTTCCAGCTTTTAGTTTTAAAACTTTCCTATATTTGATAGTCAAGCAAGAGTGAGCTGTCTACTTCCTATATGGAAAATGTCATTTTTATTACCGACTTTAAAAAAAGAGGAGGTTCTAGGTATGTTCGGCTGATTTTTTTTTCTTTTGTTTTATTTCCGCCATTTGTGAACCGATTTCCAAAATTTTGTTTTGTTTGAAAGGGTAAATACTCCCGAGATGGTCCCATTTTCATGAGGTCAAGACCTGATGATGGAATCCTTGGGAAACCGAGGGCAACTTGGGAAGTGCCAGTCTTGTAGGAATACTATCTCAAAGAGAATCAGTTTAATGAATCAATATAATTTCGCGTACTTAACTTATTTTATTATAGATACTTTATTTCGTTTTTCGTTATTTGTTTGGAGAAAATGAAGTAACTCGTGCAATCGCGTGTCTAGATTAACAGATTTGTTTTATGCGGCTATTGTTGCACTCAAACAAATTAACTTTCGAGGTAACGAAACCTGTTTTAAATGGTCAGAATATCCTCGGAATGATTTTCTTGTTTGGAAAACATGATAAGTTTGTTTATGACCATATTGACCATCGATGACCGATCTTCGCAGTATTTCAATAGATGAGAAATATTCTAAAATTTCTTTCGAAATAGTTCTTGTATATTTTGTATTCCGTTCAGCTAAGTCTAGACCTGTGGGTGTTGTTGCTAGTTAAAAAGAACAATCAAGAAAATGTCAAAATGACACAAAATGTTTTGACATAATGGACATATAATGAGCACCGTATACATTTTCTTATAATTTGTTTATATGTATTTTACATAAAATTTATATTTCAATGGATATTCTTACTCCTAACTATTGGGATAGGTTGGTAGAGCGCAATGATTATAGTTTTCATTAATTACTTAGGATTATCAAAAACACACTTTTCTTTAAATCTAAGAGGTTATGAAAACAGAACATGTTTGTCGCTAAAAATAAGGAATAAATTTATCAGTAGACCAGAATATACGTAAACGATAACCTTGGGAATGACTTTATTATTTGAACGTGTTATAAACACAGGGGTTAATCACCGATGAAAATGCCCACCTCATGTTTACTTTTTTCTTTGTTTCAGAATCTTTGTCAACAGATCGCTGCATCTAGAAAATGTTAAATTTTATGGCTTTGATATGGATTACACCTTAGCTGGTATGTTTAAACTATGCTCCTATGATTTACGCTATTTTAGAAAAACATGCAATTGCACAATACTCTTATAAGATTGCTACATACATAATTGTTCTAGATCCTATTTCAGATGCCCAAGCCCATTTTATAAGATTTGAACCAAGTTTAGTTTGATACAGAGAACGTGAATAAATATGTACATTGACTACCCGTAACTTAACCGAATGGTCTTTTCCAGAATATAAATCACCAGCGTATGAAACATTAGGTTTTAATTTGACCAAAGAAAGATTAGTGCACAAAGGTTACCCTGAAGAAATATTAGAGTTTGAATATGATCCTTCGTTTCCAGTTAGGTAAGCTATTTTTGAGTAAAATTAATGTTAAGGCTTTAATTAATCTTTAACGAATTTTATTAAATCTAAATTTGTTTTCAGAGGTCTATGGTTCGATACGTTATACGGAAACCTATTAAAGGTAGACGCCTATGGTAATATTTTAGTGTGTGTACATGGATTTGAATTCCTAAAGCAGTGAGTATATTTATGATAATAATTTGTAACTAGTTTTTGTCCCATACACAATTGTATAGATTTTAGCACAGCGTTAATTCAATGTAAACATTGCCATGTATATTGTAATTGTATACGGGCTCCTGTGGTATTTAGCGCTCGAAACATTGTTGCTATCTGTACGTGACGTCAGTCGACCTTTCTCATTATCAATTAATTGTACCCGTATAGCACTTTATTTGCACCAATACTATAGTGAGTACATAGTAAATTAAGAACCCAGTATTACCTAGTATTCATATTGAACTTAAATATGGAGTTTCTGAGGTCACATCTTTTGAGAAAATGTGGTTGTAATAATTACGTTGTTTCGTTTCAGCTCACAAGTATACGAATTGTATCCGAACAAATTCTTAACATTAGATGAATCCAGAGTGTATGTCCTAAATACGTTGTTCAACTTGCCAGAAACTTATTTAATAGCCTGCTTGATAGACTACTTCACTAATTCACCACAATACACAAGGTAAGCAGTGATTTTACATTTTTGTATTCTACCAAACTCAAATCAATACCTGAAATGTGTCCATTAGTGTAATGTCTCCATAAATTACAGTAAGTTTCCATTAACAGGTGCGAAGAATAAAAATAAAGGCAATTTATTTGCACGCTTTGTGACGAGTCTTCTAAACGAAATTCCGTTAATTTGACTGTGTAAGAATTCAACTAATGTGGCAATAACTCTGTAATAGCTCTCAGTCTGAAAGTGAATGGTCAATAACGTTCACACATCACACATAGTTTTGCGTTGCGTAATTCGCTTATCAATCTTCGTTCTGCAGATGCATTACTCTCCGAATAGCTGTCCGTCCGTCCATCCCACGTTATTTTAGATAAAGACCAATTTGTACCTATTTATTTTGCACATAACGTCAAGCATTTTCCCTCAGGAATGTTCTTACTGCCATACGACATGGAAATTTTCTTCTGTAGGAATACAAATGCAAACATCGCGCTACTAATGCTATTATCGAAATCGATTTTATTCGTATTACACCTACCTGTTGAAATCGACGACTCGTGTTCAATCTCGGTTACAAGTGTGACCTCTAGACGTCGACTCAGAGTTCGCATTTTAGTTTTACCATTATTTACAATAGGTTTAAATATATTTTCGTCCGCAGAACAAATTACGGAGTACGATGTGGGGATCTAGCTATGTCGTTTAAGTCAATCTTCCAAGATGTAAGAAATGCTGTGGATTACGTTCACATTCACGGAGATCTCAAGAGCAAGACCATAGAGAATTTGGACCTATACTTGAAGAAAGATGACAGACTGCCAATGTTCTTGTCGAGGATAAAGGAAAGCGGAGCCAAAATCTTCATACTAACCAACAGCGAGTACAACTTCACCGACAGGATTATGACTTATCTATTCGACTTCCCATACGGTGCTAAGGTAAATAAAACCACATACCTACAGTCAAACACTATATTTGCATACCGACACTCTATTACATCACGTTCGAACAAAGAAAAAACGAAATCATGGTCATGCATTGAGTGGCAAACAGCTGACATTTATACGCTTATCATTACTACCTACTGCTATTCAGATAATTTACAGTTACCTACGGTGATAAAAGATTCTTATTTACATGCGTATTTTATTTATGTAAAAATTTCTTTATGACTTTGGGTCAATCAATATGATTTCAAAAGTATGCTTGTCCTTGTTTATAGCCTGGCGAACCTCACAGGAACTGGAAGACTTACTTCGACTGGATCGTAGTGGACGCTAAGAAACCGTTGTTTTTCGGTGAAGGTACAACCCTACGGCAAGTGGACACAAAGACTGGGGCCCTGAAAATGGGTCACCACGTCGGACCCCTGCACGAGGAGCTCGTTTACTCAGGAGGTACTTACATCAGTTCCATTATTATTGACCTCTAGAATACGCTTGGTATCTATATTTACTGTATGTAAGTTTGAAAGTGATTACCTTGTCTCGTCTCCACATCACCTAAAGGTCGACTAGCTAGAATGCGTAATACTATTTTCTAGTCGACCTTTGTGTATTCATGCCCGTTTCTGTACATCTGTGTACTTTTTCTCGAAGTACCAATCTGTAGGTACTTTGTTTCGGGATTGCTATTCTTTTGTTGGATTAGATCTATTTGATATTATTACACATTACTATTTTGAATTAGTCAAGTTTAGTAAGAGCTTTTTGTGCGTGATTTCTCTATGCTGTAACGTATACAGGGCCTTTAGCCAAACGCAACTTTAGCGCTTGTCTGCAGAGAGTAGAAAACTAAATCTATGGGGATGACACTGACAAGTGTCAAAATTTACGTCAATTCCCTATAATTTGGTTTTCTATTCTATATGTAGACAAGCGCTAAATGGCATTTGGCTACAGCTGCAGGATGTATAGGTACATAGTTTACATATTATGTATATCTTGATACATGTCCAAACTTGACAAGTAGATAACGCTAAAAGCCCATGTCGGTTAACATTAGAATTCTCATAAATTGATATGATAACCATCAGATAATATGAATGATTAGATATGTGTATTATTATAACCATGCAAAGATTTCTTATATTTTTTAAAATACGAGTACGTACATACATTATCCATACTATTCAATTAGGTACTGTAGATAGGATTAAATTGTATCAAATATTATAATCAACATTACAGATAATTCGGATTTTAATATGGCAATAATAAAGCGAGTTAAGATATCGCTGATTGTAAAAGATAACAGGGAAATCGATTTAATAAAACCAATGTTTCATGTAGACTGAGTTATAGAGTGACTGACAGACAACGCACAATGGACGCACAACAACTCTATGGAGAGTGTTGAGAACACTAAGAGAGGATTTATTTAAAATTTCTGATCGAAAAAAGACCCTTTACAAAGGTTTTCGAAGAATCTAGTTCAATCAGATATTATCTAATTAATTATAATTATTGTAAATATAGATAAATCTAATACGATTGTGAGCGTGTGAGTTAGTAACCTCCTTATTGTTGACACTACTGTGGGACATGAACGCTGCATAATTAGATAAAACATTATCTTATTCCGAACGCTATATTAAGCACAAATAATATTACTATTAGCGCTTAACGATAACCGTCCCGAGATTATTTACTATCGTATGTATTGTCGTAAATACGTAAATAGTGGAAGATTTTAGCCGAACCTTACTTGATAGTTTTGTGGAAGTTTTTAATGCGTCGGAATTTTTTCTGCCGATATAAAGTACGAAGATCTACCTAGATATTTACAGAAATAAAAAAATGAATGAATGGATTTTTTTATGATTTATTTGTATATTGCTAACAAGAACGTTGAAAAAAGGCGGACATAAAAATGTCACGTAGATATTATTGAAGCACCAAAATCAAAATGTCAGTGGTTTTATTATGTGTGCGTGTGTAATGGGTTACCACGTTACCAGGCTTAAGAAAATGACAGATGTCCTTCGTGTCAATGTGCGTATGGTTTGCGTGTAAATCTTTAGTAACCAGTGCCTTTAGCCAAACGCCACTTTAGCGCTTGGCTACAGAGAGAGTAGAAATCAAAATGTAAGTGGATGACACACACACTGTCAAAATTACGCCAATTCCTTAGAATTTAGTTTTCTACTCTACAAGTAGACAAGCGCTAAATGGCATTTGTCTACAGCTGCAGGTGCCACAGTCGTTGTTCCAAGAGACTGTGTCTGCCTTTTTTTTCAACGTCCTTAATTGCTATTGCTAATGTAATGATCGTCAAAAGAGTTTTTATGTGTCATCAATTCATAATAATTTCGATATAAATTAAAAACGAATTTACTCTTTTGGCACTTAACTTCTTACGCAACAAGATCTTAATTTAATATTTCTATTTAAATATTATATAGGACCTAAATGAGTAACCACTCACTACTTGTATTATTTTACATCATTTATTATATCTTCGCTACGTCAATATTCACAACAAGATAATGATGAAAGACAATGAAGCTATGAAGCGGATAGTAACCTCATGCTTTTATCAGTATTTTCGGAGCATAATGATGAATAGGTAAAGATTTCAATGGAATATATTTGGGCTAATTTCTTGGTATAAATTTTGAGAACTTATTCTTGTTTGTGTCCACAGGTTTATTTTAACATACGTAACAGCTAAGATAAGAATGTTGTATTGTATCACATAGTCAGTCACTTAGCTTTATCTTGATAATTTCTTTGATGAGTGCTTGAGGTGACCCTCGCTAGCCATTATTCTCTTTCGTCTAAATCAGTTTGGATTAGCGTATTAGGAACTAGGATTAGGTTCATCTTATCATTAAATTCTGTAGAATCATACCCAAAGCAGGTACTTAGGGATAATGATCTAATCCAGTACGGTTCAAGATAAAAGGTGTCTTAGTTGTTATATTTTATCAAGACGATGTAACATTTTATTCAAATACAATAAAAATTATTCATATCCTTATTTCCCAGAAATCTAACGTGACTAAATATGCTTAGGTATCGTTTTTCTAATAATTTCTATGATAACTCAAAGTTTCCTGATTGATCGTAAAGGAAACTAAACGAATAACTGGCGAAAACTGGATATTTGCACCTGCAAAACGTACTTCTGATTTTTTTTCGAGAAATAATAATAATAAATATAAATAAAATACATAACATTTAATAATAAATTTTTAATTAATTATTATTATTTGTATTTTCCCCAGGTTCCTGCGATGTGTTTACCGATATGATCGGTGCCAAGGGTAAAGATGTGTTATACGTTGGCGACCACATATTCGGTGATATTCTAAAGTCCAAGAAGATTGGTGGATGGCGCACCTTCCTCATAGTACCCGAGCTGGTTCAGGAGCTGCATGTGTGGACGGACAAGTGCCAGCTGTTTGAACAGCTGCAGGACCTTGACGTCAAACTAGGACATATGTACAAGTATGTATTGCTTTAAATGTTTTTTTTCCGACAGTTTATTTTGGACGGGGTTTTTATCCTAACAAAATATCATTAGCATACTTAACTTTAAATTATATCTTACTAGCGACCCGCCCCGGCTTAGCACGTGTGCAATATGCATGTATTATACATAATTCCTTAAGAATCACTCTAGCTATTAAAAAAAAAACCGCATCAAAATCCGTTGCGTAGTTTTAAAGATGTAAGCATGCATAGGGACAGACAGACGGCGGATCGTGACTTTGTTTTATACTATGTAGTTATATGTTATACTATTTTATAAAGCTGAAGAGTTTGTTTGTTTATTTGATCGCTCTAATCTCAGGAACTACTGGTCTGATTTAGATAATTCTTTTTGTGCTGGATAGTGCATTTATCGAGGCTATAGGCTATAAAAATCATGCAATGCTACAGGAGTTGAGCAGAGCGGGTGACACCGCGTGCAAGTAGCTAGTTATAGTTAAATTGTTTTACAAAGAACCTAAAAATAACACATTCTTCGGCAATGTTGTTGCTAGTCCTTTTGACTCCTGTTTATAAGGCGAGTCTATTCCCAAAACACTAAACGAATCTCCTTATTCATGTTATATAGAGGAGCTAAATAAAAAACGTGTTAAATTCTTCATAATACATACATACATACATAACATCACGCCTTTTATCCCCGAAAGGGTAGGCAGAGGTGCACATTATGCCACTGTACAATGTAACACCCACTTTTCACTATTTATGTTATGGGTCCCATGAAATAGGGAGTGAGCCTATTGCCCTATACCGGGCACAATTCCAGACTCCGTGCTACTACTGAGAATTTTTAAAAACCCTAGTAATACTTTGCCCGACCCGGGAATCGAACCCGAGACCCCTTGCCCGGCAGTCGCACTTGCAACCACTCGGCCAACGAGGCAGTCTTTCTTCATAATCTATTCATATTATATCATCCCGTACCATCCCGTATATTTATACTAGTCAATATTAAACTCAGTCAATCTAGCCTCTATATAATTCTTAATCACGTTTGAATGGAGGTAATTTATGAAGTTGTTCATAAAATGTTATACATAATTAACTTTGTAATGATGCTTTGTTTTGCAGAGATTTAGACTCTGGTACGAAGGTGAAGCCAGATATATCGAAGTTGCGAATTTCTATCCGTGACGTCACACATAAGATGGACTTGGCGTACGGTATGCTGGGATCACTGTTTCGCTCCGGATCCAGACAGACTTTCTTCTCGTCACAGGTACAGCCCATTACAATATGTTTTTATAAAAATCTGCAGATGTCAAAATGTGCAAATAATGGATAGTAGGAGTTGCGAAAGATGAAAGCTTTAGTCACGGGGAGGTCGAGTAGATCGGACCCTAGATGGATTTACGTCGTAAACATGTCGATCAAGTATGTAACATCTTGTGAAACTACTCCTCAGAAGAAACTATCCCTATTGTAGACAGTTGTTTAAGTATATTGTAGTTTGTAAACCTGTACTCATAGAACTTTGGTTTCCTTTTTCTATTGTGTACGTAACTTGGTTAACTTTAATATAAACTTGCGAAGACTAATATAGATAGTAAACAAAATTCCTCCTAACGGTTATGACAATTATTAGGTCGTTGTCCTTAGATACGGGCCTAAACAACAACATTAACATAATAAACACATTATATCTACATAATAAAAATTATGCATACATAATTGTGTAGGTATTTCACATGGCAGTTTGACTGTAACAGTAATACTTATTATAGTTTTGTATGAATTATCTCTGCATAATATTCGTAATTCGTAGTCAGTTAGGTAACTAGATCTTTGCTGATTGAAGCGTGTGCGTGTTGTGAATAGGGTAGTTTCCTAAATTTTATTTTAATGTCCGTCTGGTATTTTAATTTAAAACTTTATACAATAATTTCGACGATATATTAATTTGAAATAGCGTGTCACATTTTGTTACACGTTATGACCTAACGACCTACTCCTAAACGCCGATTAATAATAACTTTGCATTTTTCAAGCAGTTCTCCAGCTATACTGTAACTTTTAATTTAAAAGATCGAAGTGATCACGATTGCGGTCCACCATATCATTGGTTGCTTGTGAGAATAATCACGACCAATGACGGGCGAGAATTCGAATTCGAATTTTCAGTTATAGAATAGCCCAGGTGGTCTGCATTTTGTTATGTTCTTAGTTCTACATTGCTTTTACAAACGGTTAATTAAACATACCCTTATAAAAATTAAAAAACTGCGTTTAAAAAAAACCGACTTCAAAAACAAATGACAAACAAAAAGTAAAAACTAAAAAGGAAAAAAAAAACTATTAGTGGTCATACGTACTTATAGCTTACACACCCACTGATAGGTTAGAAGTCGGTGCCACAAGTTTTAAACCTAATTATTATATATTCATTAAAACCTTAATAGATACCTAACATTATTGAGCTGTTTACAATTTTATTATGGATTATACCAGCTGTGACTTTTGTCTACTTTATATTTTATTGTGGGTTTGTGGCACCGACTTCTAACCTATCAGTGGGTGTGTAAGCTATAAGTACGTATGACCACTAATAGTTTTTTTTTTCCTTTTTAGTTTTTACTTTTTGTTTGTCATTTGTTTTTGAAGTCGGTTTTTTTTAAACGCAGTTTTTTAATTTTATTTTATACTTTTTAGTTTAGTACTTTGATATATTATATTATACAAAACCCACATGGATGCAAAGTTTTCATCAATACAAATTATGCAAGTTCAAACACCGGGTGGGTACTCTTAACCATTGAAGAGTCCCTTAGCTATCATACTACTTCGTCATTGGACCTTTAATGACCATCACCCCCCCCCCCCATCTAGGTGTAAAGTCCTCATCAATACAAATTAATCAAACCCAAACACAAAGTAGCTACTGTTAACCGTTGAGGAGTTCCCTCAACTATCGTACTACTTCATCATCAGACCCTTATTGTCAATTACACCCCACTCAGGTGTAAAGTCCTCATCAATACAAATTAATCAAACCCAAACACAAAGTAGCTACTGTTAACCGTTGAGGAGTTCCCTCAACTATCGTACTACTTCATCATCAGACCCTTATTGACAATTACACCCCACTCAGGTGTAAAGTCCTCATCAATACAAATAAATCAAACCCAAACACAAGGTAGCTACTGTTAACCGTTAAGGAGTTCCCTCAACTATCGTACTCCTTCATCATCAGACCCTTATTGTCAATTACACCCCACTCAGGTGTAAAGTCCTCATCAATACAAATTAATCAAACCCAAACACAAAGTAGCTACTGTTAACCGTTGAAGAGTTCCCTCAACTATCGTACTACTTCATCATCAGACCCTTATTGACAATTACACCCCACTCAGGTGTAAAGTCCTCATCAATACAAATTAATCAAACCCAAACACAAGGCAGCTACTGTTAACCGTTGAGGAGTTCCCTCAACTATCGTACTACTTCATCATCAGACCCTTATTGACAATTACACCCCACTCAGATGTAAAGTCCTCATCAATACAAATTAATCAAACCCAAACACAAGGCAGCCACTGTTAACCGTTGAGGAGTTCCCGCAACTATCGTACTACTTCATCATCAGACCCTTATTGACAATTACACCCCACTCAGGTGTAAAGTCCTCATCAATACAAATTAATCAAACCCAAACACAAGGCAGCTACTGTTAACCGTTGAGGAGTTCCCTCAACTATCGTACTACTTCATCATCAGACCCTTATTGACAATTACACCCCACTCACATGTAAAGTCCTCATCAATACAAATTAATCAAACCCAAACACAAGGTAGCTACTGTTAACCGTTGAGGAGTTCCCTCAACTGGCTCTCGGCTCCATCATCAGATCGGCTCCAGACCTTTATCAGATTGTAGTGGTTTTTAATACTTAATGAAAAAATTAACAAATGCCCTAGTCACCCCTATAATTTTTAAAAGTTCCCCTCGGTTTCCCTGGTCTTCCATCATCAGATCCTGATTTCCTTATCATGGGACCATTCTGGAACTATCTCCTTTCTAACAAAAAAAGAATTTTCAAAATCGGTTTATAAACAACGGAGATATCGGCGAACAAACATAAAAAAAAAAAAAAAGCATATATACGGTCGAATTGAGAACCTCCTCCTTTTTTTGAAGTCGGTTAAAAATGAACATTATATTTGCAGGTGGTAAGGTACGCGGATCTATACGCGGCGTCATTCCTGAACCTGATGTACTATCCGTTCTGCTACATGTTCCGCGCGCCCGCCATGCTCATGCCCCACGAGTCCACAGTCGCACACGAACAACGCTTCACCTTCGACAAACCCACCATAGACAGGTAACTTAATTCATTGCCACTCATAATTTTTATACGATTTCTTTATGCATTCATTATTTTAGAGAATTTAAATATTATTGGTATTAATTACATGTTGACTTATAACCGAAGAATTGCACCATCTGTTCTCATCCACGACACCAACAAAGCAAAAGGGAGCTCGTTGCAATAATTTTATTCGGTAATGAGGTCACCGTTCGGTATTCAGTTAGTGGCCTCATTAGCAAATGAATATGCGTCGTCAACACTGCGATATATTTAGAAGTACGGCGCATGTCCGCGCATAACTTTAGCATAGTGATGATTTACGGCCTCCAATCTCCACTCTTTTGTATGTGCACTAATATTATAATTTATAATCTAGGTATTAAAACATTATTTCTATAAATCACTCTAGAACCTTGCGCTATTGTTCATATGCTGTTATTAAGTTATACATTATTTGTAACTACTATAGAAACCATAGTAAATAAAACAGGTAAATGTATAACATAGGTGTATACACGCATGAGGCGACAAATCCACTTATATGTAGGGCCTTAGTCCACCGTGGACGGCCATTGAGAGATCTACATTATATCTAAAGTCACTCGACATAATTGTTATATCAGATATTAACGCATTATTTTTACATTCTAGGAGCAGGACTTCTAGCGTGCCCCTTATCATCGGCGTAGGTGACCTTCCCGAAGAGATGTCCAGCGGTTCGTCAAACGAAGCCATTGTCAAGGACAGGCAAAAAGAGGGCGGCGTAACCGTAAGTTAATGCAATTGTTACTTTATTCACGGAGGTTGGACTAAAATAATTAACAGATATTATAATAAAGATTTTTCAATATTCCAGTTCCAGTCAACATCAGTGCCGCACATGCGTCCAGAGACCCCGCGCCAACTGACGCACACGCACGACGAAGACTGTTCAGACGACGAAGAAGTCACCAAGACTGCGCAAACTAAATAATTCTTTCAAAGTTATTCTCGCACCTACAGATAATACATATAATGAACATATTATTCCATATGAATTTGTGCGATCACTACGGTCGGTTTACAATAATAATGTAAAGTTACTGATCGTACCGTGTCGTCGCGTTCCGAGATCGAAGGTTTTTATAAATCATTTGATTTGATTATAAAACGAAAGTAGTGCCTAAATTGTATTTATATGTTTAAACTACATGATCGAGCAATCAATGGCATATTCAGTTTAAGCACTAGTGCAAGCGAGTCTGTACGTCGATATGAAACTACTAATATTGAAGTATTAGAATGGGTGAAGTGAAAAATGTCTTACAAATTGATATTAATTAATTTATAAGTAATTTTTACTATAACAGTTTCCAGTCGTAATTTGATTAAATGAGGCTTTGATTATTATGGAGACGAATTTTATTATACTTATGTTTTGTTGAATATATTTTTAAATGGTTTTATATTATACTAAATGAATATGATAAATCTTTTCATTATAATACTTGCAATTATTTAGATTTACCTTATTTACAGTGTTATTCGTCTAGAGATTGCAAAAATGCACAATTTAATGAAGTTATTTTTTTGAAATTATTGAATTGTTATGATTTTATTTATTTGTTATCACTTTCTAGGTAGGTGTCTATGAATCAATAAATTTTCAATCTTCAAATCAGAGAAAATGTAACTAGAAAGGTCTTATTCTCCTTGATCTAGTGCAGTAAAAGTTTAACAAAGTGAATATAATGTCCATTCGTCGGCTGTGTATTTATCGTAACAATTTGATATATAGGTACGTCTGTTTTGCATGTTAATATAGTCATGAATGACTCTTGGTGAAGGTGCGGTGCGATGCGGTTTGTGGTAGTATTTTCATATCGGTCTTTTTTGCTTATTACCTTCGTAATAATATTACGTCAGTTGCTTAGTATAGTCAGCAACATTTCTAGCTCATGGTATAATCGACCGACCGCTTGATTAGTTAATATACTGATTACTACGAGCCGCACCGTACCATGTCCTGCGTAAAGAGTTCGTTTGTTTACGAAATACCTTTGAGAATAGCTTTTAGTTATTCCAACAATGCATTACTTCAAAATAGATTGGAATAAAACAATTTATTAAATTCGTGTATTTAATTTTATATACATTCCAGTTTACAATAACAGGTCTTCCAAATACTCCTCAAACTCATCCTCCCGCGACTTCTCCTCGATTTCTTCTGAACCTATTAAAAAGTGCAATATAATTTATTAAAATACATTGTAAAAAATTTGTGTCCAAGTACCTACATTATAAACTAGTGTCGGAATACTGAAACGTTACTCAATTTTAAGTGGCGCTTATGTATAGTTCTGTCACTACTAATCTTTGTGAAATGACAGAGATGGCACGATATTTAAGCACGATTTAAAATTGAGTAACGTTTCAGTATTCCGACATAAGACCTTCAAACGTAACAAAATCAAAGTTAGTTCTTGCGATTTTGCTATTTCATCACAGATAAATTTGTTTTTACAAGACAAAAAAAAAATAACAGCATTTTATGAGACCAAGAAGTATTTTTTAGTTACAAGAATCAAGTCTACTATTTAGGAAAAAATGCGGATGGACCATTTATTCCGCTAGATCTGGGTGCAAAAGTGCTCACACAACACTGGATACAGGCGAAAAATAATATGAGACACCCAAGTCGATAAAGAACGTAAAAAGTAACTTGTAAGTTAAAATTTGACCGCCTCAGTCAGTTAAGCCCGATGAACAAAATGTATTCATTGAAATAACCTTTTCTTGGCTATGGCTAACTAACAGTGGTTGTGGCTGATTAGGGCATCTTTTCGGCTATTGCCGACCGTGGTAGCCAAAATGTTAAGAAGTGTAATGGCGTCATTGCCAAAAAGAACGAGGTTATAATACAAACCTTTCTTCCACAGAGCTGCTTCATCATCTTCTGGAACTGTGGCTTCAGCTGAAGTGGAAGGCTCTAAGGCACCTTCTGGAGTGCCAGGGCATTGGTCCTCGTCACCACTTTCTTCCTTGTCTGGCTTTTTAGCCTTTTTTGTTTTCTTCTGACTTTTCTTAAGCCTTTTTACTTCTCGTTTCTTTGATCGATAGTTTAATAGCTTTGAACATTCTGGGCACAGACCTAATTAAAGAGATGGATCTGTTAGATATTTGCTAGAAGTGTCTGCCTATATACAACCACAGAAATCGGTACGTTATGACTGGGCAGGAAATAAGGTGACAAATCTGCAACCTAGTATCTGGATTATACTAAGCTCTCCCCTAGTGTTACATGTACGTGCATTGTACAACAGCCAATTGACGTAATTACTTCACATCCGCCTCCACAGGCTGACCGGTCAAGTAGGTACCTACCTATCACCTGCTAAAGATATACCTACAGTAACATATTTAAGGGTTAGTAAGGATAATGCTGTACAATGGTTTATGTAGGCTGTATAAACGTTCCTACGTGACGGTCTCTACGCCTATGCTAACAATACCTTTCTGTAGGTATTTCGGTACTTCTCAAAACAAAAGTATTTGTTCGATACATAGAACAAGCGTATTATCATATCTACCAACAATCTACAAATAGGAACTTACCAAATTTTCTTTAAAAAGTACCTAATAGGTAGATACTACTCATTTTTCTTACATATCCACAACAATTGTATGAAATCCCTCGTCCCTTTTTATTTGTAATAAGGGGCAGAGACATGCATTGCAAGTTCGTAACGCTCATTATTTTTGGACGCAAGGTTCAATCATTAGCGATTGTAAGGGGAAGGTTTGAGTAGGTACTTAATTTAAGCTGCATAGTGTAGATAAACTACGTAGCACTTATTGGGCACAAAACATTTTGTTTTTGCTTCTGAATTTTTCCCAAAGATTTAAAAATACTGTATAAATGGACATATTAATAAGTGCCCTGTATTCTATTTAAATCCGTGTTGTGACAATGCGTATTGCGCAGGTACCTACCTACTTACATACAATTATGATTAAATACTAACAGACTGTTCAACAGCTTGAGTGCAACATGCAATCAATTATTAAAAACCTGGCCCAAAATCCATTGCACTACCTACATAGGTAGTTTATCTATGTAATAAACTAATGAAATAATAAAAAGGCGAAGGCAATGTAGAGGTCATGACTCAACTACAATATTCGTTTAAATAGAATACTCATATGTTGTAGTAATTTGACACAGGTATTGAAACAATTTATTGTCTTCCATTGTAGGTTGCTGTGGGTAGGTAATAAAATATTGCAGTATTGGACTTACGAAGCTTTACGAGAGCATTTTTCTTCTCGTTATCTTCCATGTAAGCGAAGTTGACCTCCCAGGACTTGAGATCGCCATCATTGTTGCACACCTTATTGCCACATTGAAACTGACCTTTCCCCAGTACTACTTCTTTCTCCACACGCCAGCGGAGTGCTACCTAGTAGGTATTTCATACATACTTTATGTGAAAATTTCGGTATCTACTAAACTAGGAGCATATTCTAGTGGGTAGGTAAGTACTTAACAATATTTAACTCAACCATAAAAGCGAAAATATATCGTAAAGCACATGACTCAAACGAAGTATTCTTATTGATGAAGACATCTTCTAATTGATTACATAATGTACCTACCTACTTGACCTATCAGAGCATCCTATTAGATTACAAATAATAATTGGAAGTGCATTGTTTGAATTACAGCTACGATATGGGCTATATAGTAGGTAGGCGTTTTATTTTTAGGCAGCAAAATGGGAACCTACATAATTAGAAAGAATTACTTCGGTACCTACAAAAAATTTGTTTAATAAATACGGATCTTAAATAAAACTTATCTAAAAAAAACTATCATTAAAACCGTGAGAATGAAGCGTGCCTTCTTGTCATTGATTTTGTGAGACAACTGGGGATCGGCGGCTGCGGCACGAATGGCCAGATGTGCGTTACTGTGTATCAATGCGGGTGAATGTATAGAGCTATATTTAGCCTACAGAAAGGCAGCACGGCCTTTGTTGCACTCCCTATACAACAACGACACAAAAGGTCTCGAGCAAAAAATGAGTTACATAAGGGACCGTCCCCATCTCACACAGCCATGTTGTGTTAGGGGAGAACCTTTATCGGATATTTCAATGTGACCTTTGGACCCGTTAGAAGGCAGACTTAATTTAGTTCAATGTAATTTTCAAGAACGGGAACTTGCGATAAATCTCTTCCAATGCATTTATTAGACCTATGAATCCAAGTTTTAATAGGTATGTGAAATAATAGAATATTCCTAGTGTTGTCGGACTTACTTTGTTCTCTTTATATCTGCTTAAATCGCAAATGCAATATTCTTTGAATAGTTTATCGCAGTACTTTTTAGCTAGTTGCTTCTCCCAAGTATCAGCAACGTCATCTTCGTTCCATAAAAATTTGTAATTCTCTCTTATAATGTCAAGGTCAGTTCTATCTCTGGAAGTGTCCCGTTTCAATGATCCGGTAGAGCCCTTCGTATTGAGACAATACACATTAACTAAGTATTTATGTAATTCATACGGATTAAGGTTACGTAACCTTGCAGACATCTTTAGTGCAACCTAGAACAAAGGGAAAAATATTATTTAATTCTGAAATAAAACAGAACTTGCAACAAACAACTCTTTAATAAAATCGCAATTATTATTACACATTTTCATAAAATATTTTTAATTTATATATCAAACGGAACTTAATCTAATTGTCATGATGAGTTTTTAACAAGGTGCATTTTTGATAAATAGAACATTGTAAATTGTAATTATAAACAGTATGAATAAATAATTGATTTTGTGCACAAGTTTATACCTACTCTGAATATTATCGTCAGTCTTGTAGATTTTGCGTTTTTATTTCATTTGGCTCAATATCGATTTCTTAAACTACAAACAAGTCATGCAAATTTAAATACTTAAAACATTAAATATAATATATAATAAATATATATGTTTATTGTCTATTTTAGTTAAAATTAACCTAGACAATATAGTAAGGCATTATATTACAACCAGTATATGAAATCCAAGTGGCACAAAATAAGTTAATAGCCTTTGGTTTTATAGCCAATTATAAAATATGACAGTACATTATTCTTTGGGATTTTTGTTACTTATTTTGGTCTAAAAGTCTTATAGCAAAGGACCTTGTCTATCAAATAGCAAACTAATTAACTAATGTTCCTAAACAGTTACAAATAAATATGTGCACTGTTAAACATTTGTGATGTTTATTGAAGGTCTCATTTCATAAACCTTAACTTATGTATCATTAAAGTTGTTCATTATCTTATCTAATATATTAGGAGACCAATAAGGAAATACAGAGTAATTTCCTTAAACTTCATTCAAAGTTGGAAAATAGTAACTTACTAGTTACCTACAGATTTTCAAATATTAAATCTATTAATTCTAAATAATTAAATTATTTGGTATACTTGTATTTATAATAATTATTATAAAGAATAGGCACATTAAAAATGTTATTGCTTTGGTTACAACACAGTACAGTAATTATAATCACTTGAAATACTTATCTAAAAATTTGGCAAAGTTTTCATCAACTGGTGGTTTAGTACCATACCTCATGTATAATATGTATAATTATGTAGTAAGGGAGCCCATAATGCTAAATTGGTATTTACTTGATCTTAGTAAGGACATGTTGGCCACAGGGATTTTGAAGACATGATAATATTTCCCTTAAATTCAAGTTAGGTAACGTATATAAAGAAACCTAATAGTTGTTTATTTATCGATTTTTCATTGTAACATTCGCGCGTGTTAGGTATAGATACTGTATATAGTGGCGTGGCGCCATGCTAGTACGTATGGCATTGGTTAAATACAAAGAGCTAAAGATGTGATCCAGTGGTAGGGTAAATACACGACCATACATAAATATGAAGCTTAAAGTTCTTAATATATAAACTGGCTAAGAGGGATGTTGCATGTGTTTGTAATAACAATGTGTGTGGGGGGGTAGGAGGTAAGCCTGTAGAAAAAGATAATAAAACCTTTCAGAACCCTGCTCTATTGTGAAAATAAATGGGGCTAATTTCGGTAAATTATTACACATTGAGACCCTTAAATCATACTTCGAAAAAGTATGTATTTTAAGCTTTTCAAATCCTATTTGGTGGTCCAATATAATTGTCACTACTTAATGGGTTAATAGATATTCCTCCTATGTTCATCTGTCCTGTTTGAGTAAACACCAAAATCCCATAATGGTCACCCCTACCAATAAGCTTACAAAAATAATTGGTGATATCTTTTCAAAGGCCTCATAATTGAATAAACAACATGTTTGCCTTTATCTAATGTAAACATTACAATAAGGCTATCGGACCTTTGGACATTCCACCTACATAAATATCCATATATTAAAATATCACTTTATCATATCTAAAAGGCAACATTGGATTGAGATATGTGTGACCTTATTGTAGAGCACCTGCAAATACATTTTACTAATTCACTAGTATTAACCCAAACATACAGTTGAAAATAATATAAATAAAAAAATTGCAAGCAATTACAGCAGCACACATTGAGTGTATTAAAACACTCGCATAAACACAGAAACACACCATAATGACTAAAATATGAACTAGATCATGATAGGTTTAAATTTAGTATAAACAATGTAAAAGTTCTATTCTTAACAAACATAATATTATAACTAATTTTTTGGCAATAAGAGAATCAGAAATTATAGCTTGTTGAAAAGTAATAACTACAATGTTTTTGGCAACAGAATTGACCAGACATTATTGACAATTTTGATTTGAGAATGCAATTGAATTGCATGTTATATTATGACATTGTTCACAGTTCTATATTCTCATTTGATTTTGTCGAAAACATTTTACCCATGAGTTTTCTCATGTTTCTTCATATTATCTGAGCGAGTGAAGGCTTTGTCACAAACTCCACAGTAATAGGACTTTTGTTTTGTGTGCACTGTCATGTGCCGGGATAGTTCACTTTTGGTTACAAATTTCTTTTCACATACAGTACATGCATGCTTTCTTACATTGAGATGGAATTTCATATGTATGGAAAGTGAACTCGACTGAGAGAATGCCTTATGGCAAAGTTCACAAACAAATGGACGCTCACCCGTATGTTTACGTAAATGATTCATAAATCCTGTTTTAGTGTAGTCTTTTTGACAAAGGTGACAAAAGCTTGACTTGGATTCCAACATTCCAGGAAAATGGCTGCTTAGGTGTTTCCTGAGGTCCCAGGAGCTTGGAAACTTTTCTGAGCACACATGACAAGGGTACTTCTTTTCTTCGGTGGGTTTAGCACTACATTTGTGTGAGGCCAGAGAATTTTCGTTAGAAAACATTTGGTTACATTGGTTGCAAGTATGACTAGCCTCAGAGTCAGTAGATAAAGTGACCTCCAAATAGTTTTCAATAGACATAACATTACCATTTGAACTATCAGCGTCATCGATTTGGATTTGTGTCATATGCTCCTTTGAAGAAATATCTTTAGTATCAATCTTTTCGACATATTCTCTGTAATCTAAAGACTCTTTGCCTGTATTGTTATTGTCGGGCTCTATGAGTCGTAAAACGGGTGACTCACTTTGTTCCCTATCGGGGGACGTAGTTTTTTCATTGTCGGAATGATCGGGTCTGGAGGACACATTATTATCAGACTCCCAATCATTTTCGACTATTTCTACATCCGAATCAGAATCTTCAGCGCTTGAAACAGTATTGTTGACTAAGTGGAATCCGATATCATCAAAGCGTAGTACATTTGGTGGAAGTTTAACCCCGACGATAGCCTGAATCGCCTGCCATGAAAGCTCCTGGGGGTTGTTCTGCATATTAGATCGCACTACTCTAACCTACAAACGAGTATACATCAATTACTGGTTGATACACTTACAAGCCACTAACTACCAAAACAAAGAATAAAAATATAAAATATTTACCTTTTATGTTCACGATCGATAATATTTTAATAATTATTCAGATGACACCTTTGATTTCTACATCTAAAAATATTATGCACTTCTCTCTCTTTTGATGAGTTTATGGTAAACTTTTTACTGTTTATTCCTGTAACTCTATGGTTTGGCTAATAGATGCCCATAAAACATCCGATCCGATATATTACTACGAACTAAACAGAACTAAGTACTGCAATAATGTTATAATATTTTGATTCATATGTTATATTTCATCATAATAATTTTTAAAGGTACACTTATTCTTAAAAAGTGTAAATCTTTTCCGCATGTATCGAAATATCTTCGGATAAATAATAGGGCCGCCTGTCAGCATTGTTTCTGGGTGTCACTAAAACTGTCACTTGCTGACATATGTCAATATTGTCATATCAAAATGACATGGCGCGAAATAAAACAGCTCATGGCTCATTGTTCCTTATTGAATTTGTTTGTTTATTAGTTTAATATTATATTTATGAACTATCACAGTAACTGAATAAGGTTTGGTCATAAAGAAAATTTGTAGATTTACTTACTGAAATCATCCATTATGATTAAATCATTGCAAGAACTTCAAGATTACATAAAATCGAAGGATAATTTTACAAATTTTACAAATTCTTCAGTTGTTCCTGATGTGTGTAAAACTGAACCGTGTATGCTTGGTGTTGACGAAGCTGGACGAGGACCTGTTTTAGGTAAATTAATAACAGTACCACTGTGATCATAGATCATTCCGTAACACTAGTTTCTCTGACACCAAGGAATAGAGAATAAGGGCCCGGTTCACCAGTCACCACTTTCATAATTATTAAATAAGTATCCAATACATGTGGCACTAAGTTCATACAAATAACGTTCAGTGTTCCAATTTATCTGATAGGTACCTAGTAGATATTGGCTATCGAGAGTATGTGAAACTATGATAACTACATAGTTTCTAAATTATAAAGTGAACCTATTGTAAAGTTTACCACTATAGCTATAACATATTTTTATATAGTATGTATGGCTGAGACAAAATTAAATTGAAAGAGTGTACTTTCCCATACAATGTAATAGAAAACTCACAATAAAAAAAATGTTTCATTCATACACCTATTAATACAGCTTATTCCAATGTAATGTCATATTTCTTTACATATTTAACTCCAATGTGGAGCTTAATAAAAGTAATGTAACTCTAAATATTAAATTAAAACAATGCTAAAACAATTAGGCAATCTGGTGATATTCAATGTGCCTTCGTATTGCTTCAATAAATCTTGGTTGCATAATGTTATATGTGGCAAATAATCTACTATTATCTTTTCCCAGGTCCTATGGTATATGGCATAGCTTACTGCCCAGTAAACCAAACCAAAGTACTACAAGATCTTGGGTGTGCTGATTCCAAAGCTTTGACAGAAGAAAAACGTGATGACATATTTACTAAAATGATAACTGAAGAAGATTCACTGAACAATGTTGGATGGATTGCTGATGTCATTTCTCCAAATTACATTTCAAACTCTATGTATAGACGGGCAAAACATTCTTTGAATGAGGTGAGTTTATTAGAGTCAGACTAAATTTATTATAATTAAAAATTAGTAATGCTGCTTATGAGCAGATATGAGCCCCTAGCTTTACATTAGTTTATACGAAAGGGACTACTTTAGTTACATTCATACTCACAACGAAACATTGGAAATAAGGCCTATAATGGTCTAAATGGATGAACACTTGGATCTTGATCAGCTAGAATGGTTTGAAACTAATTGAATTCCCAAAACACACAATTACATGAGAAAGCAGTTAAACATGTAACTAACAATTTTATTGTAGGCTCTATTTATCATGAAAATTTGATTACAATATTTTCTTCTAATGTTCCAGGTGTCAATGAACTCTGCAATAGCATTAATAAAGAAGGCAGCTGAGAGTGGTGCCAACATAACTGAAGTGTATGTGGACACTGTTGGTCCACCAGAAAAGTACCAAGCAAAGTTATCTGAAATCTTTCCTAATTACAAGATAACTGTAAGTTGATATGATATATTTTGGCATTACCAATTCCTCAATATTATATTAGTAAATTGAAAAATATTATCTCTAGAAGCATAAATCACTGTAGTCATGTAGGAAGACAATGATTTCTTGATGTTAAATTGATAATTATGTACTAAGTTGGGACTGCAAATGAAATGAATTATCATAAAGAACAACACTCAATCCTAATCACTTATTCCTTAGCTTTCTAGAATCAAGCCAGTAATAGAAACTTGATTGTAAATGTATTAAATCCTTTTTTAGGTAGCAAAGAAAGCTGATTCGTTATACCCCATAGTATCTGCAGCCAGTATTGTGGCAAAGGTAACAAGAGATCATGCCTTGAAGGTATGGAAATTCCTTGAAGGATTGGAAATAGACCAGGCAGGATTTGGAAGTGGATATCCAGGAGGTAAATACAAATAGTTGTAGTACAAAAACCAATAAGTAATATAACACATATTTTTTAACAGTTATCTTTTGAGTCCAATACAGATCTGTATTATCCCAAAAAAAACGATGCATGTGCTTAGGGTACCAGGTTATAGAGGAGCACTGTGAGACGTGCATGACCAATAGCACGAAGAGTGGCACCATAAAAAATTTGGAGCACCTCATTGTGTACCATGTAATAAGTGAGCCTCAATTTCAGTTCATGCTACTGTAGCAATATTTTTGGAAAAAAATGAAAAAAAACCACAATAGTATTTTGTCCCATCTGGGAATTATATTTTTTGCTCGGTAATCAGAATTGTGAACCCATTCGACTAATGTGGCAATTAAACGACCAGCTGGACCACAGTCGACCTACATAGCAAAAACTTTTTTATTTCAGATCCAGTAACAAAAAAGTTTATTCGTGAACAAATAGACCATGTGTTTGGATACCCAATGTTGGTGAGGTTCAGTTGGTCTACAGCTGAACTTATGCTGCAGGAGAAGGCCGCTACCTGCACCTTCGAAGATATAGACGAGCAAGGCTCTAAGAAGTCTAACACTAAATCAATCAGCTCATTTTTTGCTAAACCAGATGAAGTCAAACCTAGGAAACGACACAAGTTCTTTGAAGAAAGACATTTGTCTGTTGGTAATCCTTTTGAATGATAATTTAGTGGACATAGGAATAAATAGACATTATTTTTAATTTGCTTTTTTTTTTGTCACTGTACGGATTTCCTTTTGGGTTCTGTTGCATTTCAACTTTATATTATTATTAAATTATCACATTTCAACCTAGATTATCTTTTTACTAGTTTTCATTACGATTTCACAGTTGTGCACTGTGTAACATTTTAAAAATAGATTTGTCAAACGCGATAATAACATGGAATTGTTATACAATGAGATTTTCTTTTAAATTCATTTAAACATTCTACACACAGTACTATGTAGTAGCATCCTACATAGGCATCAAACTATTCTTATTCCGACAGTACATTTAAATCGGCGCCTACGTTAAATCACGACAACTTCAACAAATCAATAAATATTACATGAACACACCTTTTTCACTTGTGCATTTTTGACCTACCTCGGTTGTGTGTTCGTAAACTTGACTGTCGAATACAAGTCCTTGGGTTGGGTCGAGACCCGGTTTGGGAAAGATAATAATTGCCTGGTTGCATATGGGATTTAGAATTTCCTAATTTATTAGAATACTAATTCTTAAACTTGAATACTATGATTAAATTTTAAAGTGCTTAAGTATTTTATATGGTTTCGTAATAGATTTAACTATCTATGGGATCGTATATGAAGTATTGATGGATTGTCTGATCCTTAATAACCGCTCATGGTTTAATATTTTGCCAACCATATTGTTCATCCCCTATATTGCTGGTATTGCTATTGCAACCACGAATATGAAAATGTAAAGTGCACGACTTAGTAAACTGAAAAGGTCTTTAGTTTCGTTTAACTTAGCAAGTGAAAATGACACACGTGTGCATTGCTGATCAGTAGAAATCGGCAACTATTTAAATACAATTTATGCTGTCGTCGTATGTTTTACCATACAACTTGTATTTTATCTTTTTGGATTCCATCCCAACATGTTCGCATGTCGGAAATGTTGCCAAAAATTCATTGTAACGTGCTTCGAAAGTTAAGCAAAATTGTATACTTAAGTACCAAAATTTTTCTTTCATTTTTTGTGCACATTAAGCCATTAGAAAGTTCTTTACATCTATGAATTGAATCCAAGACCTTTGTGTTCGGCGGTCAAACAATAAATAATACGACACAGAAAACATATTTTTTCTGAGATGAAAAAAGCATTTAGGTCAATATACACTGACTAACATACGCAGTTAAGATGATCAAAATAGGATTTATGACCAGCGTGCCTACTTAAAAAAAACTACGTTGACATTTTAAGTCTCTTATAAATCCATCGAAATCGCTCGCGAATACACAGCACCTAATAAAAGCAGAGACATAATAGCTGTTTGTTTGACCTGTCGTGTTAATGCTAGGTTTGTATATGCAAGCAGCGCATGATGTACTGTAATGAATCGCTACTCTTATTTACCTTGCATTAACCTCTAGCCCAGTCAGTGTACTGAATGAATGTATTAATGATATGATAAGTACTTGATAGTATTTTTTATGTTGGAACTAAGTAGGAAAAATTGAGTTATTTTAAGATTAGTTAAGATAGACTGCAAAGTTTGGATGATATAATCTTCTTTACTGTAGTTTTTATTTGCAAAAAAAAAAATTATAATTTCTCTTCTCTAGTCATGTTCATAGGGGAGGTTTCTTTCCTAGTCTCATTGCATCAGAATACCACATGTCGTTTCGTCGTTTTTGTGATATTATGGGCGATAAAAAGTATAATAAAACTTTCACTGACAAATTGCGGTCTATTAAAGATTTGTTTATGCGATGAAAGGTCCCGATGTTTGGGGAGGCTCATCCAACAAGGCGCGCCGCCGGGGAGTGCGCGGTCTCTAACGTCCATTAGCATGCGGCCCGCGACACGCGCGCACCTACTTACCATGAGCAATGCGGAACGCACTGGGCTCACTCAGAGAATTTAATTGTGTTCCATTATCATATTTAGGTTCTTTTACGGTAAGTCAAAAGTGAAAACTGAATGGAAGTCAACCTCGCTTGTCATTCGTTAGTTGCGATCGATGGCGACAACTTCTTTCGCCCGGTACACTGAGGATTAGCTCCAACATGGCTATCTTCAAATATTTTGCGGTCATATTAGCGTTTAGCGCGAGCGTTTCTGCGATTATTGGACCATCGAACGGAACAAAATCAACAGTATCAAAGACTGATACGTATTTAGACGCTTATTCCAAATCTCGCATTGAAGCAGAGAAGGCGAAACAAGGTGTTGTGATAATAACAGCTAAAGATGGTGAGAAAAAGATATCAAACCGTGACGACAGTTACCAGTCTGGATATGATTACTCGCCGCCGTTTTCAAGTGACAGCAGTTTCAGTTCTTCTGCATCATCTGGCTACTCCGGCCCTTCCGCGTCCAACAGCTACTCTCCTTCGCCTAGTTATGGATCTCCAGTGAAGTTTGAACCAGAAATTACTTACAATGCTCCTCCAAACACGTACGGTCCACCTGCGCCAACTTATGGACCTCCGGCACATAGTTACGGGCCCCCGGCTCCGGCTTATGGGCCTCCAGCTCAAACATATGGACCTCCAGCGCAAAGTTACGGGCCACCGATTCACAAGCCCTTGCCGCCACCACCAATATACGGCCCGCCCCTAAAGCCATCTTACGGAGTTCCTTACACAGCACCTGCATTAGGATTTTTAGACAAACTGGCTTTCAAACTAGACATTTTGACTATTGCGAAGTTGCTGCTGAAATTTTTGATATTCAAGAAACTTGTGACTATGCTCGCTGTGGTTTGTATGTTACTGGTGATTCCGAAGCTTATTTCATTCAAGAAAAGCCCCGCTGACGTTGGCGGCACTGACGAGGACGAACGAAGCTTTGGTGACAATAAAAGTAAGTAATTTTTGTCTTCTCCTTATCAATGTAATGTTTGTTTTATTGGATACCTAGGTTGATATTAGGAACGCTAAAAGTACCTACCTTTTATTAAATATTAACTGGACTAACTATACCATCTAAAGTGCCTTATCGATTGATAACCTAAATATAATTACATTAGCAATACCAAGTATTTTTTTAAATATGCCACTTAGCTAGTACCTACCTTTTTTGTTAAAAATACCTTAACTTTATCTGTTCGTATGACAGTGGTGGAGTTGACATCAGTGCAACAGTTGGTGGAGCGAGCCATCACCGTGTACGGGCGGCAACAGGCGAACTGTAGCGTCACGTGTCGCGTGCGCAGAGTGGTCGACGATATTTACGAATTTCAACCCTATTTCAGGTGAGTTACGGTTAAAATTAACTGAATTAAAAAACAGAATACTTATGCCTTAAAATTATCCCGATTTCCTCGTTGATCTAATCACGGTCGTAAACACGATTTTTGAGCCAGGTTCCGGCTCCTGATTACGAACGGGTCTTATTCCTGTGGCAGCCATGATGTTATCGGACGAAGATTTTGGGTTTTCGAAATTCCGCCTAAATAATGTACAAATCACCACATCTTTTATTTTAGGACTTCTTTGTTGTCATTTTGTATTCATTCGTTCATGTTAGTATTAAACAAATAACATCGAAGTACTGCATAATAATTAAAATTCGTTTTATAAAGTTTAATTTTCCTTAATACTCTTAATAGTTAATTTTATTACCAAACGCCCCGGTCCGCTTGCAACGACCTCGGTTTCACTAAAGTAAATAAAAAATAATACATGAAAATCTTCCGCCCTGAAATACTCGTTGATTGGAGGAAGTTAAATGAAAATTGCTCAGAGTGCCAAACATGAATAACTATCGTGTTCGTAAAGTAATATTATCGAGCGCATTTGGTTTATTGTAAAAAAGTTACGAACAACACACATAAACCAAACATTATATAACCAAATATTTTTATAACAAAAAGTTAAGGTTGAAAATCTATCTCTAAATTAATGTTTGAGATAACTGAGGCAGAATTTTTCCAGGTCAACCCCATTCCAGGGCGTTCTTTAGTCATCAAGAGTCTGAAAGTCCCCTGGGTGTTATCAAGCGCGGGGGATACTTGAAAATTTTCCTAAAAAAAATCTAAAAAAGCTTCATATGTTTAGTCGTTTAGCGTCTGCATAATCAAAAGAATATACTTTGTTGCAATATGAATAAGTAATGTTTTTTTTTTCAGGGGACAATCTTCATAGTAATCTGGCATCGCAGTGTCAGCAGTTAGCACTGACACCGACCACTGTTACATGGGACTGATAAAGCAGGTGCCATTGAAATTAGTCTGATTCAAGTCTTCTATTTATTTAAATTATTATTGTAGATATGTAGTTATTTATTGTGATTATAAGTTAAATAAATTTTTGTTTTTATTATTGTGTATGCATTTAAAACTGTAGATTATATATAGTTACTAAGTACTAATTAATTGGATAGTATATTTACATGTAATATTTCTTGTAGAGAGGAGTATTTTTGATTTTAACTAATTAGTTCATATTACTTCATGAATCAGCGGAAGTGATGATTTCCATATTTGTCGAGAAAAACAAATTCTACAATTGTGTTTTCTACGTTATTCTGTGATTATGTAACAAAAATTAAAATTTCAGTATCGGAATAACTAGAAAAGCGATTCGCGTACAAATTACTTGAATTGTGCAATATAAACTTTATTTTGGTGAAATTGTACTTTCTCTGTAAAGGATTTGGGATCAAAGACCGAGACCTCGTGTGTTGACAATGCTACTCACGGTACCGTATGCGTACTGGTACTGAATAGTAATGCCACCGGCAATGCTTCATTGTCTCGGGACAATTAAAGAAAATTAGGTGACGATTGTACTGCGATTGGTATGCGCAGGATCCGGTGATCGATTTGCCGAGTAGGGAAAGTGGCGTATGAAAGTCCTTGTCCGTATTTGTTGATGATTTGTGGGACAGACTGCTAGGTACTGTAAAACTTTTCTTGTAATTGTATATTAAAATAATCGTAAGTAGTTCAGTAGGTAGGCATGTGCTTATTTTTGGATTTATCAATATTGATGAATCGAATTACATAATTTGAATTTGTGGCACTTATTTACTGCCCAGCTCTGTGGGATAAAGAACTACGAGTATGAAGGTAAGTTAATCGAAAAAATGCTTATAGGTATGGTCATAAGTATACTGTTTCTATTTTTCTTTGAAATTGTTGTCATCGGGAATAACATGGCAAGTGATATTGCCGGGACGTCCTTGTATGTTCGTCACTCCGATAAAGGGTAAATTATAAATCTTACACAACAGTAATTAATTAATAATAAACGTAATTCAACCACAAATAAATGAATAATTTGCGGTCAAAGAGATAGTTAAACATTGTGTGATTTATTAAATTTATTTTAAAGGGAAGATCCCTTTTGTGGGAAGATTAAGGGCCTTTTTATGAAGTATTTGAGCGAGTCAAATAATTTCGAAATCAATTTGAATAAAGATAAACATTTCTTTCTTCATCATCCGATCGTCTACTGCTGAACGTAGCCCTCTCCATTTTTTTTACTTAGATACATAATGCCTAGAAAATGGAATTCCCACATAAGTCAATCGATTGTTCAAGGAATAATTATGCAATTGATTTTTTCCTCTAAATGTGGTATGATAACGAGGCACTAATTTTAATTTGCAAGTAGTTTTCAGTTTCTTGGTTTTTCTTTCCCGGTCATTGTTATTTTGAGGAATTCATCTATGTAATACATTCTTGTAGTATCTACTAGATTACATTGTTACGCCAAAAATGATTCCTAGAAAGATGAACATTAGTAGAGTAGTGTTTCATTAATTACTCTGACTTTATCCTTATTTCAGTTGAATCATCTATATTTAGATTTTTGTGTTCACGAGTAATTTAAACCAATTCACGCAATTGACATGTGCTCAAGAGGGCACTACACTGGCAACCGGCTGCAAGAGATTTGGATGTGGGATTTATTGTCGTCTTAATTTACTAACTCAGACTGATATTCCACAAAGGAATGGATAAGGAACGTTTCTTTTGTTTGAATTACAGGGATTTATGTAGTTTGTGATTAATTTGTATAATATCTAACCTTTGTTAGATGAAGCTGTTATGTAAGGTCTGAATATGTCGTCGCGTCGTTGACCTAGGTCGGTGACAGACTGGAGACGCGACGATTGCCTTTCTTCAGCAGTTGACTTTTTCGAACTAATGCAGGCATGATTTTATGAGGCATTTTTGAAATCTATTCGATTTATTTTCTATCATCTCTATTAGGTCAGGCTCGGTTGCAAAAGCTAGTCTAGCAATAAATAAAATATAATTTTCCGTTGCTCCATTTATTAATAGTGTTAACCAAACTTTATGTTTCGAGTGGCAAATAACGACAACCTTGCAATTAATCAAGTGTTGACGTGATATGGGCGTCATCATTATATCCTCATTATTTTAGTTTGCCCTAATTAACATTGTGTATTAGTGTTCTCTATTTCACACACAGTTTATTGCCGGTTTCATAGATTAATGGTAAGAGAAACCTACGTATTATGACAATGATAATAGGAAAAAATATGATAGTCAATTTTTTTGTATCTATTTTCAGTTCAGCTCACTTGTGCAGGTCTACGAGTAAACCTTTTACTAACTTAGTGACCGATGAGTACAAAATATTTGAATTCGTACAAGTACGTGTAAAATATTCACGTAAATTAACTTCTTAATAAAAATGGTTACCGTTATTACTAATGCTATAGAAACTTCTAGTAAAGATATTAGTGTTTAATATGATTCTATATTCATATAAATAAAGGAAGTATCGGTTCCCTCGTAAAACTAGTTATATTAACTACTCTCCCGGTCCAACTTGAGAGGATTAACATAGAAGATAAGAAATGTGTCCGCTATTCCTATTTTAATTGCAAGGAAACGATAACATTTATTATTATTAGTAGTTTATTGCTGTTTCTAGGTATTCAAGCTGCATTCTCTTGAATATTTATGTAGATATTTCTAGCTGTCATGGTACATATCCTTGGGCCTAATTTCAGTTTAATCAGTCCAGTTCTTACGAGTGGGTGCTATACAACTTGTTAAAATTCAACAAAATTCTATTGGTTGGTAGGATTAGTATGACGAAGGCAAGGATGGATAATGATTATAATCCTTAACTAAATACATATGAAAGTTTAATAAGGACGGGGTCACAGAGGGGCACGAATCCGACAAACGACATGCTGGTGCGACAATGAACTTGGCGGAAGCACTTGTCACGCTCGCAGCGGCGAACAATGCCCCATGAAAACAGATAATAGCAATTAACTATTCTATGGATAGAAACTAGAACAACACAAGTTTAGAATCCAATACCGTAAGTTTTATTTCTTTGAACGCAGACTAGAAATTAAAATGGGGTCACGCTTAATGGTGACATTGCAATTTGCCGAATATTGGGAATACCTATGCATTTACTATGAATTTTGTAAGGGTGAGACCCGTCTCTAATAAATGAGAGATTCTAGTCACTCGTATCTAGTATACTACGCTTATTTACAATAAAATATTCTACAATTATAAGGGAATTAACAATAGTTTAATCAGTAAGAAAACATTCAAGTAATGTACACAATGACGACGTTGTGATGCAATGATAAAAGGACAATAATGAGTATGCCAGTAAGCCGTATGAGTGGAGATGCTCTATTTATTCCATTGTATCAATGGAGGCAGGATGGGCCGGTCCGTGTTTGTTGGTGGCTGAGTCAAGTGCAGGAGCATTCGCCTGGAACGCTCAGTGGCTCACTGTGGAATCTGCACGTGCCCTCGCCACACGTGTGCCTTGACGCACCATAACATCGCCGGGACTGTGTAAACGTTCTCAGTGAATGTACTCTATAATATAATAGCCAGCCCTAATCACTGTGAAAACGCGACGTTTATTGGTGATCAGTGACATTTTAATAATGAAAAGTTCTTCAATTCAAATTTTCAAAGCTCCTCTAAGTAAGTTATTATCATTATGATGTCATTTTCTTTTGTTTTCCTTTCTTTGTGCTTTCGTTTATGAATTCGACGTCAAGTTCGTTTGTGTTAGGTAAAGCCCTTATTTTGCAATGCCCTTAGAATATTTAAAAAAAAATGGCACACAATTGTTTGTTTCGCTTATGTTTACTAGTACCTAAACAGTAGAAAGACTCCTTATATTTATGGTGTTCTACGTAAAGTTGATTAGAATTTCGAAACGCGTACAGGTAAGACCTACATACTCACCGGCGAGAATAAAATTACGTAATGACGGATAACGTTATACCGTATGCTTTAACACAATAGTCTGTGTCGAGCTTCCGATACGGCTTTGTTGAGGGATTTGAAACTAATTTAAAAATACGTAAACTCTGAAGTGCCACATAGTTTTTCGATGTCGCATCGAATTTATCTCGGTACTCTCTTACGATAGATATCTACGTGATATCTGTTATCAAGATACCTCAGTCAGCATTGTTTGTCTAAAACGAATGTTATTGTCAAACACGCTGTGTAACCAACAATAGCTCATGTAAAATTTAATCAAATTCAGTATTCATTCAAATAAAACGTTTGTATTGATCAGTTAGAAATAACTCGTAGTGACGTGCGTTGAAAGGGAGCTATGTGCGTATGTGAGTACTATTTTTAATTTTGTTTAGACAGTCTGCAGACAAACATTTAGGAATTGCCTATAATAATAGACAGATTCAATAATGTAACTTTTAAATAAAAATCTTAACCATATTTAAATAACAGACATAATAGCTTAATTCGCACTAACAAAGAATAGCTTCATAGTTGTTGAATGTTCTACTTAATTTTTAAGTAGATGCTCTACTTGTGAGTATCTAGTAAAAAGTCTGCCTTGAAATATGTATTGCCAAACAAATGTGTTTGGTTAGCCGTTATCAAGATACTACGATAAAGATTCGATAGTTCCGACAATGTTCCTGTACTTTGTATAATGACTTACGTACCGGTGATAGGATGTAAAGGTTAACTGGGTAGGTACTAGGCATGTTTTCGGAAGGACGTTAGAAATCGCGGTTGGCACTTCCTCTCAAATAGGCACCTATTTAGATACGTATTTACAATCATTACTTGTTACTGTTAGTACCTGCTATCACGCAGAAATTGTTATTGTTAAAACTAAAACAATTGAATATGGTTACAATTATTCTCTTTGTGTATTTATATCAAAACTAAATCGCACTATTTTCATTAACAAAGTAACAATAGTATCAAAATGTGAGATTTCCTTAACCTTCTTTATTACCTAGGTACTTCTAGTAAGTTCCATTGCATCTCGTGCTGATTCGTAAAAGTGCCTAGGGCTCGAGTGTTTTAGCAGAAAATAAAAATATTGTGTCATTTTGGAACTTGGAAGGGCTTCTACATATTTAATTAGGAGCTGTTGATTAACTAAACTAGGCCACTAATTGGAGGGACGTCGAAATGCGAAGACCTTTCGTGACTGTGCTAATTATAATGTAAATGTTTCCTCACATAGTCATATAGGTACGATTTAAAGGAAACGATTTTTTACGTATCTACATAGGTATTCTTGTTTTGTTGCAGAATAATGGAGTTTGCTGAACAGAATTAGCTACACGAGAATTACCAAAGACATTGCCAAATAAAGTAGTACAGATTAAAATAAGTTTATCTAAATACGTCAAAATGCCAGAAATAGGGCCGATGATGCGCGCACTCGAGCTGCAGAGGCTGATAGAGGACAAAGTGGCCGAATGGCGCGAAAGGTCAGCGAGGGTCGCCGGAGCAACCGTAGCCGACGCTTATCAACAGCCACTCAACTTCAAACGACACACATATAGACGTAAGAACAACGCTGAAATAAACAGAATTATCGCAAAGTACTCAAAGCCCACTAAGAGAGCAGACGAACCCTATTCGATAGCGCGTGTCATTTCGGAAACGTCCCCAAAACGCCCACCGAGATCTAAGAAATTAACAAACACAAAAGTGTTGTCTAAAAGTGAAGATAATCTGGCAAGCATCGGCGAAATGGAGGTCGAAACGGAACCAAAACAAGAAACGAAGTCTTACTTCACACTATCCAAGTACAACACCAAAAGTTGTGAAGATGTCACAGCGTTCGTTGATATACATCACCATGTGAAAAGTAAAAATTTCGAACAGAATAGTATTTTAAATGCCAAAACAGTCGTGCCAAATCGAAGACCTAAGCTGCATAGTATTTGTGAAGGTGTTACGGACATTTCGGAGTTCTCGGACAGTGGTTTAGAATGTGGTGATACGTCTTTTGTTACATCAACGCCTCTGTCTAAAAGAAAAACGTGTCCTCCTGGTGGATCAGTGTCAACATTAAATTTTGAAAGGGTTACCAAAAAACCCAACAGTGTTAGTGAGATGCGAAAAGGTGTGTCTGAACCGAATATCCTTAGTGCAGATGCTAGTGAAAGTGGAAGTTCAAAGACTATTGATTTTAGAAAGCGCTGGAAAATGTTAAAGCCACCTTTTAAAAAAGGGGCTTTCGATTGTTTACTGTTATGGCGTGGGAAGAAACAAAACCCGACGACAGAGAACAACACCCGGAGGTGAGTCGACATATTTATTTTATCTAACGCTAATATAATTAAGATACAACTTATAAAAACTGGTGGATATTTTTATCGGTTAAAATACAATAATATCATATTCAGTTTATTAATTTATTATTTGCGCAGTTTAAACATTACGAAAAGGTTGGTTGACCTTAACGTGAAGTGATACTGGCTATTTATACTTAACTGAATTACGTGTTATTAAAGCATTTGCCTTACTTAAATATAATCTACATGATATCGTGAAACTAAGGCATGAATACAGATAAAAATATATTGCTTAGCGCAAAATTTAAGAAGACTCGAGAACGACGAAGTTCAAGGGAAGTAAGAAAAAAATAAAAAAATAAATACCTAGTGAGCTCTATCGAGGCAATTAGTTAGTATGTTAAACTATGTATTTATCTAAGTAGTTATATCATAAATACACAAGTACCCACTTAGCGTCCGGAGCTTGCTCGCCTTATTAGAACAGGCGTAATTTTATAGAACATCTTTATCATACACATGTTTTAATTGATTCGTTGTAATGCGATATGTCGAGAACAGTTTGTAGATTACCAGGTCGCTAGATCGCAAAATATGTGCCGTTGTTTATTTATTGAAACGTGACATATGAAGTCATATGTAACGTGTGAGAGCAAAACAAATACTTAGTAGTCATTAAAATAGATTGAATTTACATTGACGTTATTTATCAGAACATGTGTGTTTATAAACAGTACAAAATTATGATATGACCTTATCGAAGAAATCTTTACAAGGAAATATATCATTCATATTGATTTAAAACTCTTCTAGCCATTTTATGCTATGTAAATTATGCTACCATCCATCCATTATTCAGAAAATAAATATTAATGAAAAAATTATGTGCTTCTAAAAATAAAAACAATATGTAATTCCATTTTTCCTTTTTTTGAGGGGGTAAATGCCGAGCCGGGGTCCCTGTAACCCGTTATATGGTCCACAGGTCTGAATCGGACACCAGCCCTACTGGGCCTCATCTGTTGTGGTCAACGGATTTTTACGCAAATGAAGTTGCAGGAAAATAATACTTAGTTTTTTGTAAAAGGTGCTGATATAGGTAATGATAATACACTAGTTATATTAAAAGAAAAACTCTTTATTAATAGCAGCTAAAGGATATTGATAGTTAGTGTTGCAAGAAGTTTCCACTTTATTTCAATTGGATTGACTTACATAATTGCAGTAAAATATTGCATTGTTGCAGTAGTTTACTGTTACATTGCAATTATGCAAGAACATACAAATATGTTAAATTCTATTTATAATTTAGGGTTCGTAGGTTAAACAATTATTCATGTATGCATACTTACGTAATATTGTCCCGATCTCAAGTAGCTTGAGATATGGGCAGGAAGAAGAAAATACCAGTATCAGGTTCTCAATGGTATTATCTCCCCATTGCTAGCGTATATCTTTTTCCATTATTCCCTGCCAATAACTATAGTTGAGTAATTTTATTTACTAAACTTGATCTCTCATAGAATCCATCATGTATAATTCCCAAAGAACTGAGAGAATTCAATGAAAGTTACTAACGCCTCTAGCGGTATACGGAGGAAAGAATTAATGCTGAATTAAACATACATTAGTATTGAACAATCTCGGCAGATGGCGCTGTGCGTTCGATAAACTACTATTTAGGGATTTCCGGAGGAGAACTGATCAATATTTTAATTATAACATATATTCCTGAATTATAATGAGGAAAGCATAAAAATATTGTGTAAATAATTATATCAGACAGAAATTCCCAAAGGTTAAAAGGGAATTCTGTACCTAATGTAGTGTGGGGAATTTAGAATATTAAGTACATATTTTTGCACCTGATTTCAATTTCAGCTTCTGAATCAATATCACGATTTTTTCAACGATATATTTAGTTGAGGCTGCACTTACACCTGGAGACTTTCCATTAAAAATAGTCTTTCTAGGTTATCAATTGCCAGACTTTCATCTGAGCTATATGTAAAACTTTTTGAATTCATTATGCTGATTGGTGGTACTAACTATAGGTGTGACTCTCGTATTTCTGCATAATATTGTCATCAGTCAAATTAGTAAATGTTACAAAAAACATCATTATCTAAAACATGTAGTGTGGTCGGTGAGTAATCTCCCGACCTTGGGTTTGGTCATCCATACAATTGTGAACAGGTACTCGTATACATGTTGTAGTTACTGCGGCCATGAGGTTGTGTAATATTAAAGTGCGTTCAAGTAACAACATTGTTATAAGTATTGTATAGCATTTCTTATATACCTTCTGTGTGTAGAATAAAATCGATAAAGTTTCTGAATTCAAATCAATAAGAACGTTTGAAATGATTTCTGGGACATCATACTGATTTACAATTTTGTTTAAAAATACTACTTATTTAACGATGAATGTTTTGGATAAGTTCGTTTGTTTCTATATAGTTAAAATAGATAGATCACAAAATACATAACTCTCTAGATTCTAGTCTGAGCTCATTATCTAGCAACAGCTGCATATGATATGGAGACTGTTCCACAAGAACGCGGTCGTAATGCACACTCGGTCTCACCAGTATCTTGATAAACATCTTATTATAATTACTCATGTCTAACTAAGAATCATTGTGTGTGTATGCAACTGTACTGCTACCGAATGACTGTTCTTTGTCCAAGTTCATCTAGCAACTGCACATTTTATCACTAAAAGAAGATACAGATTACTCATTTCATTTTAAATGAGCGACTTCCTTTGAAAACTGGCTAGTCCATTACTTGGAAAATTGCGGGACTGACTACTTACTTAGTTATAGTTTCTTGTACGATTAATGTTTACTTTATGGTATGATAACAAGGTGCAAGTTACCAGTTACTATATTCATCTTATTTTTTTCGACCCGTTTATTTCCGTCAGTAGGGCTTTTATAAATATGGTGAATAAAGGGAATAAACACGTTCAATTTAAATTACTAAGACTTTTATAACTACATACTTTAATTCATTATTAACTTGGTTGTGTACAATCATCCTTACTTACTGGACATCATAAAAAATTAATTAAAAATAAGTCATCAACCGTCGGAAACATTACGGAAAATTGTGTTGTCGCGACTTATTTAATGAACTCGATAAATAATGGAATTCTTCATCTATCATTTTGTAGTTACCTAATATTTATTATTTACCCCTCTAATTCCAAAAACAACTGTCATGTACTTTGTATTTAATTCATACCTTATTTGTTTTAATTATATAATTGAGGATAAATGTAGTTGTAAATCCTCAACGGATTTAAAGAGGGTACTTATACTTTATAAGTTTCATAATCATTTCAAGAACACAAACGTACGGTCTCGCCACGGAACAACAATGACAGCAATTCTGCCAAATGCAAATTATTATCTGCCTACACGAAGTGCACATAGGTACACCAACTGTTCAAATGATGGTGTACGTCCTTATTGTTGGGCTGTTGACACACATTATGTATCATTACGTCTATTCTTTGCCTATCCTAAGAGGCTACGGAAGTCGGTACAAATTGTCATTACACAATTTGTAGTTCTAGGCTCTAGTTAGTAAAGAACGATGGCATCCATTTTTTTAATTCCTTTAATAAGTAATAAGTAACTAATATAATTTTAATTATTATGCACCTAATTATAATAAGCAACAGGCGTTTGTGTGTATTTTTAATACATTTACCTGTTATTAAAGAGCCGAATGGATGACGTATATTCCCGAAAGCATAGGTACACATAAGCTATTACAGCACATTATTATACCTTTTCAAAATTAATTAATGATGTATTGCTTTATTGCCTGGTCTTAAGTCTGTCCAGTGCAAAAAGTAAATGATTCCATGTACAGTAATTACAGCATTTGATAGGTTAAACAACAGTTTATCCGATCACCATCGTACTGTACTTAAAGACACTTTATTAACAAGTTTACAGTGTTAACGCCATAGTTGTTAACGCCCTAGGGAAGAGTACCTACGTAGGTAATAGTTGTGCCTTATAAGAAAATACAAGTTCTACTTAGGAGCAAGAAAATGACTTCATTAAGTGGTTACCCATAAAGATGACGTAGGTTTTCTCAGTTTTCCAAGTGATTAGCTAATTTTAATGATAAATTACTTGTTCTCACTCAGTTTTTCGGAAGTCATGTTAGCTTTCAGCTTAGGGGCTTACGTTATCTATGGCAGTTCAAGGCTGGCAAGTGGTTCCGTAGTTTGAAATATTTTCTTACCGTGTTCCAACAAAAGATTCTTGAAATGTATTTAGTGTTTTTAATTTTTGCTTGTAATACCTACATACAATATTGCTCCATTTTTTTACGTTGCTAAAACAATTTAAATAAATGAGATAGCGTGATACCTAACCTTCATCTAATCTAACTTATCGGCGTGTGAAATTGTAAATAGTGCCTATATTAAAACTAAGTATTTACTTTCTCATATTTATTTTTTATTTTATTTATTTTTTTAGCAAACATTGGCTTCAAGAATTCATAACCAATAAATCCTACTATGCCTATAATAATAAATGCATCATTTTGTGTTTATTTGTTTGTTTGTTTATTACTCCTTGACGTCAAAACCGCTAAATGGGTTGAAATCTGGAAGTGGGTGAAATTGGGAACATGGGTAGATTTTGGTTGGGAATAGCACATAGGCTACTTTTTATTCCACGTCAACGCGGGTGAAGCCATTGACACAAGCTGGTCAATAATAGATCTAAGCAAGATGAGCATCTATGAACTGATCGATGAATGTAGAGGTAGATGAAAGGAAGGAGGTATGAATATGGTACAGAATCACGTCATTTGGCATTTCATTGCAAGGGACTCAGGTGTGACGATATAAGTGTGTGTATGTAAGTATGTGAATTCACATAAAGTTATAAAGATTCTACTTCAATATTCTCATACAGATTAAGTAGTATAGGTACCTTATTGTACCATTGCGGCGCTAAATGGAATTGCTTCAT